TTGGACACGAGTATTCAAAAATTATCACAGACAGACCCATTCTTATAGGTTTGGTTCTTTTCATGTTACTGAGGGCTTAAGTGTTTTAATCTGTATGTTAAAGCTCAAAAGTAGCTTCAACATACATACATGTTTTAATATGTGGCCAGTACTAAAGGGCAAACAACATATTGTACTTTATATTTGCTCCATGAGAAGTTTGTTTCATCAAACTAAAGAAAAAATACAGCCCAATTGGTGAGGTGCATGTAGTGTAACATAAGCTAATAACTATGCCATACTGCTCAGTTTGAATACAGTAAGTATTGTTATTAATATTAACACATTATAGCAGTGTTCCAAAAACTGGAAAACGGGTCTAACCATATCTTAATTCAGTGACAATGAATTTTTTAGCCAAAGGGAGAATATGTTAGAGAAGAAAAAGATGCAAATGGCATTCTGGGTAATTATTATTCTTGGCTTTATTTCTTGCACTTGAATTGACATAACCCACATATCTAATCTATACGTTAATTTATTATAATTTATTGACTGTACTGTCACAGAAAGTGCCATCTCTGAGTTTGGATAGTTCTGCTAAGAATTCCTTAAAGTCTCCTTAGGTGTAAATCTGGATCGTCTTCCTTTCAGAGTTTGTGTCCTGTTTAGCTTGTTGTTTTAGTTTAGTGTTGAGTGAGCATGAAAGACATTTAACAAATGGGTAACGCTTGGTGAAAATTTGGGTAAGGTGTTAGTTTGGGTACCTTGATCGATGCAGGTCTGACCTTGGGACAGGGAGGAGCAGGGATGAGCCCATCATTTATCAGGCTCTGCTTGTATGGACTTGAGCAATTTCACAGTGTGGAAAAATTGGTGTTTTGCGTTCTGAGTAATTCTAATCTCTTTTTGTAGCTGTGGTTTGTTGCCATGTAATGTCTTGCATGTACTCTCACCAAAAGGCTGTACACTGGCGTTCACCAGTTAGTAGATACTCTTACACCTCTGACACCATCATTTTACACCTCACTGAAGCATTGATTTTCAAAGCAATAAGCTATTTGTGATACAATAATTAGCTTTTGGATGGTCAAACCTTGCAGCCACTGGAAAAAGAGAAGTTTTTTATAATTAAAGTTAATGTAAATTTTCAATAGGCACCTACTGAAATTCTTGTTTTCATTTTACCTTAGTATTAGCCTTGTTATGGCAAAACTTTGCAGCTAACACTACTGAGACTGTCCAATTAATAACATTATATATAGCCAGTGTTGGTAGTTCATTTGATATTTCATGATTTTACATTTATTATTGTAATGGTAAAAGTTAGCAGCAAATATTAATGTTACTGACTTATCATTTCATAATCTTGCCAAAGACCTCCATTAGCCTATTGTCCCAGAACTTTTTAAAACACATCAGTGAGCCACACCGTTGCACTGGCTGACATATTCTGCTTTACCATGCACATTGTAATTTAATAATAAATTTTGACTCAATCCCACACAAGCCGGCCTACTGCCCCACTAGAGCACCAAATGTATAATGTATATGTGTATTAATCTGAAGACGAAAATAGTCCTCAACAAATATACTTTTTCTACCTGTTAGAGTAACATTTGCTGAAAACTGCAGGACTCAGCTGGAATTCACTGAGCCTTTTCATCTGTAAAAGGAAAAAACACTGTGACCAGTGTCTTTTTAAAGGTCAAGTCTTCAGCCGGAACCATTGTGGTTGGGGTTGAGTGTCACAGACAAGACAAGGAAGTCTGAAAGTACTGAAAAGTGGACTAACACATTTCTTGTTTTTTTGAATTTCATGGGATTTGCAGACCCCAACTAAGTATTGACTATCACCAGCCTTATCCGCGTGAGGTGTAAAGGGAGAGACGCACATGTCAATCATGTAATGGTCATGCACTGTACAACTTAAGAGTTTTGAGTTTGATATTTTAAGTTGCAGCATTTGTAATATGGATACACATATTTTCAATTAAAGGGTTTATAACAGATTATGTAATACCAGCAATACTAAAAAGCTGTCGGAGTAGCAGTTGATGTTGTAGTTGAGGGAGTGTATTTAATATATTTGAATTAGTGTGACATTTGTATCAGGGGTATGACTAGTTTAATTATTTATATAGCCTACTGTCTACTTGCTGCAGTTTGAAGTTTGAAGTTTCTTAACTCATTACTAATTAAACATTCTGAAAGAATCCGTTCTTCATATGAGTTTCTTGTACTGTACTTTTGATACTTAAGGACATTGTTGTTGACTTGGGTAAAATGATGAATGCAGAACTTTTACTTGCAATGGGCTGTTTTTCTTTCATTGTGGTGTAGCTGCTTGTATTTAGAAATGGATTTTGAGATTTCCTTCCACCATCAGTGCCAGTGAACTTATTTATGTTGGAGATAAGTGACAGGTGTATTTGAGGCACTCTGCCTGTCCCATCTCTTTGTGTCACAGACCAGGTTTCCACTCATATTACCAAACTACATTATAGATGAAGAGGGTCCAGTTGCTCATCTTGCGAGTGCTGTGGGGTAACTGGGTCACATTAGGAATGAGCAATGAGCAAAACAATCTTACTGCTTACTGCATGTTTGTCTCAAAAAACAAGACAAAATTTTAGAAGTAATTAAATGACTGTGATGAACATATGAACATTTCTTAAAGTATTTGTAAAACGTTACCTTGCCGAACACTTCTGTTTGCATTTTCACACAAAAGAATAGTGATCAAACTGTACTTTATGATGAAAACTAATGAAATCTGGTTTTGTAGAACAATAAAAAACACAACACCATCACTGTGGCTTACCTGTAGTCAGAAAACAGCGCTGCTACGACCCCATGCTCTGCTCTTCTTCACCACATCTCCCCACTCCCTCACTTTTACCATCACCCTCTGGCCCTCCCTTTGTGCAGTTTCCCCTCTTGTTGGCTGCTGCTAGGAGACCGCCAAGCCGACTCCAGTTTCCTCTGTGTGCAAACTCAGAATGTACACCCTCAATAGATTTTTTTTTGGCTTTCAAGTTGTGTACTTTATACTTTACTTGGAATCCTGCTGTGTTTTAGAGGATACCACTTTAATTATTAAGAGTCAGAGTGGGGAGAAAATTCAGTAATAACACAAACCACCTGAGGTGATGCTTGAGGAGCACTAAGGAACACTTTATGTTGTGAAATACACCAGTGATCTTTTGTATAGATGTGCTGTGTGTTCTTGTTTTGGGTAATTTACTTGGCCATCTGCATATAACACTGATTGAAGGTCGGCGAAGACAGGAATACTGTTTGGTACGTATTCAGTTCTGGCTTTCAGCCAGTTCTTCCTGCATTGACTTTATTTGCTCTGAGTCTCTGTGGTGTACTGGTGAGTCTAGGGCTGCAACTAACAATTATTTACATTATCAGTAAATCTGCAAGTCATTTTCTTAATTGATTGATTAATCGTTTCGTCCATAAAATGTCAGGAAATAGTGATAAACGGCCATCATAAGCTCCCTGACTCGAAGGCGATGTCTCTAAATATCTCCAAAACCCACAGATTTTTAGTTTATCATCACAAAAAAACAGCAAATAATCACATTTGAGAGGCTGGAACCAATTCAGTTTTGCTTAAGAAATGACAAATGATTAACTGCCTATCAGAATTGTTGCAGATTCATTTCTTGTTGTTGTTGTTTTAGTGTGCATATTTATCTTGGTTATAAGTCTCACTTGGAATATCCTTGTATACATGATTCTAACATTATATAATCTGCTACTGATTAGTATACTCAGTTAATCTCGTAATCATTTTCTTAATTAATCATTTGGCCTTTAAAATGTCAGGAAGTAGTGAAAAGTGAGCCTAAGATGATGTCATAAAATTTCTTGTTTTACAGATACCTAAAGATCTTCAATTTAAGATGATATAAAACACAGAAAAGCTTCAAATCCTTACATTGGAGAAGCTGGAATATTTGGCATATCAAAGTAGTCGCACAATATTTGTTATTGACTAATCATTGTAGCTCTTAACATTATCCAGGTTTCTGATCATATGTGCACTAGTGCAGGTGTGTCTTTGGCCCCTCGACATCTCGACATCCACATGCACTGCTGTTTTCTTCAGCTCTTCACCAGTAATAGAAGATGAGAACGAAAGTGAAGACTGTCAAATAATTGATCACATTACCGGTGTGAAGACGCAGACAAAGATCAGAAAGCTGGTTAAGGCATTAATGGCAGTGTCTTGGTTTCTATCTGAGAGGGCTATAGGCTTCTCCAGGTGTCTCAATTGAGATACTAGTGTGGAGGTAAACATTTTCAATACATGCCAGGTCAGGCTCCAGCCCCCAAAATGGATAAATAATAAATGTTGCTTAGTATTTGTGCAGCGTGCATGTCAACATGCTTACTAGTGTGACCCCCCCCCCCACCACTGTTTGGAGGTTGTCCTGCCAACCTCAGCAGACAATTGGCCAAAAAGCTGGCCCATGTCTTCAGTTCACTCTCTCCCTTCTAGCAGGTTACATCCATGCTGTGGCATCTTCTTTTGTACTTGTGTTTATTTTAGTTTGCTAAGTTATACTTTAAGTAAGTACTTTGCGTGGACTCCCTCTTTGTCACATTCCCTGAGCCAGTTAGCGACACACTGTTTGAGTGTTTTTGATGTGAGGGGTCATATACATCTTTTACACTAAATAAGGCACATTTTAGATTTTGCCCGTCTAGTGTTTGTTTTTTTTCTAGTTAAGTACTGGATAGTTTCACCTTTTCTGGCCTCTAAAAATCTTTGAAAGTAAAATCTGTCTTCAGGTGAACGTAAGTCCACATTAAAGCCATGTGTAAGCTGTGACAAGAGGTCAGAGTAGATAATAGTTAGTGCACAAGCCAAAAAGGTTGGGAACCACTGTTTTACCATACTGGATATACGCTGTTTACATGGAACACAGATTCACACACTCCACCACTCAGGGTGAAGTTCATACAGTCACAAGACAACAAAGAAAAGGACACCATGACAAATATGATATTGCTAGGCAAAGAATTTATAAATTAATAAAAACATTCCCTTTGTAGTGTTCTTCTCACAGCTTTTCCCCACTGTGTATTTTGTCCTTTTTTCCCCTAATGATTTCAAAATATAGAAAAATATTTCTGACAACATTCATCATTCTTAGCATGATTTTCATTCTGTCCTGTTGGTTATTTCATATACCTCTGCATTTTCCACCCATCACTTTTTTTTTCTCTCTTTTTTTTTTTTTTTTACATTATTTACATATTAAATCTGTCCACGTCATCTTTCAGCTTCAAACAGGGGACACCAGAGCATGATTTGCATAGATCACAGGGGAGGAATAAGTCAGGGGTAAAAAGTCAAAGCTTTTCAAAGAAAAAGGTAAAGTGAGAAGATGCTGTACATCCCGTGATACACATTACAAATCAACACATGGAAAATCTATTTAAAACATGGCACAGAGTGTGTGTGATGTGTTAAAAAAAATCTGATGTGAAAACAAAGCTATATAGCCAAAACTGTTTCAGTTGAAGTCACTTGCAGAATAAACTGTCAAACCATATGTGCAAGTGGAAGTCTCATCCGCCACACAGCTTTGCTATGCAAAGCTCAGCTGATGTGAGTTGCATTGCTGATTGCAATGTGAGTATGAAGGTTTTTCACCCACTTATGTGTTGTGGTGATGGAACAGCCAATCATAACCCATCCTGAAACAAAACAATTTCATTTCAAATGAAAGTCAGCGACAGTTGAACACTTTGGCTTGCTGTTTGCAGAGTGTTTCCATTGTAACACCATGAATATACAAAATGCAGAAACGCAAAACATAACATGCTCTGAATTTAGCCATAACTAAAACATTCAGAAATATTCAGTTTTTAACTCAGTGACAGATCAATTGTAGTGTTCAAGTACATCTGTCTGAAACACAGACAGCAGAAGAAAATAAAAAAACAATACCTGTGACATTACACAACATTTTGTGATGCTTAGCTTTGGGTTTACCACTCACCATCAGCTTTGTCAGTTAACAGAGTCGGAAACAGAAACCACCACGGCTGAGATGCCAGCTTATCAATCCACCAAATTCACAAACAAGACTGGATACATTTTGAGGCCCTAACTCGTTCTGGTAAGTACATCCATACATTAACTATTTTTTTTAGAGAGTTCATTCATTTGTTTTTCTCGGTCACTTTATCACAGGAAGATTTTTTTGGGTGACAGTTTCTGGTGGCCATTACAGGAACTGCAGTTAAAGACAATTGTGCATTGGCTTCAGCATCCAGCCGTGGTAGTTGCTGCATAGTCAAAAGCCAAAATCCCTTTCCCAACAGTAAATTCAAAAATTTTAAATCAGTATTGGTGTTTCTGTATTTTAAAACAGGCTGTCCTCCTTTCCACAATCCCTACTGGTGTCTGAACAGTTGGGAGGGCTCACTTTTCCAGGAAGCAATTTGCTGCCGTTCATTCTTGTGGAGTATGAAAAACAACTTCCATAGAGCTAGGAAATCCATCACAGTAACCGGTACACCCTTGATTACAGATGTTTTATTTCACTGTGTGTGAGTTGTGTTTTTCCATATCAGCGCTGCACTAAATTAAGCTCAGCTCATGGTCTGTCATGACAACCCAAGGAAGAAGTCAAAGTCCCGAGTAGGAAATAAACCCTTATAAAAACGCTCAAATACAATCTCTGTCAAATGTATGTCTTTTGTATTCTTAAAAATGAAACACAATTAAATATGCAGTATATTTAAATAAAAATACAAACAGTAAGGAGTGAAAAATGACTGCAGGAAGCGTAGACATGATGTGCATGGGCTAAAATCCCAAATCTGAAAAAGTCGCGGAGGACCGATGAAAACAACTTAAGTTTTGCAGCTCAGGGTTACAGAGCAGCTCCCTTTTATCAATAACCTTCAGCTGGCAACAATCATCTTTTTAAGGACAATTACAGCTTAGGTTTTATTTCATAGGTTTGGCCATCACTTCTATCATCAGTGAGTACAAATCATATGTCCTTAACATTTTCCTTGTATTTGGCCATGTAACTTTTACTATAGGTGTATTACATTAGGCATTGGGGTTATTTGAAAGCACTTTTAGCATTTAAAAAGTGCTACATGAACATGGTTTATTAGTGTTCGGATTATGTACCATGAAACTGTCCACTGTTCAAACAGAGACACTTGGAGTTTCAGGTACTGTCAGAGAGATTGTCTTTGGTGTCCACAAATGTGTCACAGAAATACAGATAACTTGACTGAAACTGCTTGGTTGAGAAGCTGAGTATTTAGTGTTCGACCTATCTTTAACAGAAACAGTTTGTAAAAATAGTTTAGTTAAAAAACACAATCTTGAGTGGAAAACTAAAGCAACCTGGCCTTTTCTTTCTGTGCAAGGGAAACATTAATCTTGTTCTAAGCACGCGGATGTACAGCAGACTAGGTGAACAGATGGACGGACGGATGGCAGTGGGTAAAATACAGAAGTGATTTCTCTACCAATTTGATTAGGCGAGAGCAAACATTCAGTGTGAAATGCCGTCTCTGATCTCTGCAGGCACCAGGATGACTCACTAACCACTAAAACCTACAGCATGGAACCTAAGTTGAGCTCAGCACTATTGCACAAACCAAAGAAAACTTACTCTATACTACTTAAATATTACTTAACTATACACCCGGCCTTATCTGGCATGCAAAAACTCTTAACTAATGGTACTTAAAAAACAAACTGGGGTTTTACCAAATGTGTCTAGAAATTCCATACAAAAGTGAGTTACAGCAGTGATGAAGTACTACATTTACAAACATGACGACCATGGATATGGCTTTGACAAATTGAGAAGGCTTCAACTTTGAGAAAGACGGAACAGTTGTCAAAAAATTATGCAGTATTCAATTTCAAAGATTGAAGACTTTGCAGGATGGCAGGCACATTTAGCAGTTTCTCTACTGCTAAAAGTTGAGATAATGGCTAGTGTGTGCAGACAACCAAATCATTTCACAAAAAAGCTGTGCGAAAGATGAGTTTTGCATTGCAGTCATACATGTAAAGCTTAATTTTCCAGGTTCTTCATTTCCTAATCATTTTCACAGAAGAACAAGGAAATTATTAAGAAATTAGAGACCTGTAAAATGAAGAATTACCATCTTCTAACAAACTGCCAATAATTACTTTAAACCCCTCAAAAGGTTGCTTAATGTTGAGGGGAAAGGTTGAAAGAGAATTTTGTCTTGGCAAAAGCTTTTAACACTGTGTGGCTGCTACTTCATTTAACCTCAGACACAACAAAATAAATTAAACGCCGATCACAACGCTGGCAAAGATTCCTCCACATCCCCAAATACACATTTTATACTTGGTACCTAACAATGAAATGAAGAGAAAGTAGCTATTACACTAGTAAAAAAATGGGTGTTACTTAAAAAAAAATAGCAGCATGTTAAGTTCCAAGTTGAACAGTTGTATGTTCAGTTTGGTCTGTCTCACCAAAGAGACAACATCTCAAAGCTGAAATGGAAAAACTGAAATGGAGATTGCTTCATCCAAGCCTCAGCTTCAGCTCACAAATAAAGATCCATTTAAATAAAGATCTGTTAAAGAAGGGTCAGTGAATGCCTCATGAGGACCTATTTCAACTGTCAGTTCAAAGTAAATGGAAATCATGCAAATTCTCCCTAGACAAAAAAACGTCCCTTCTCGCCTTTTCCTTGCAGACTCTGAGGTCTTTTAAAAAAACTAAATGACACACAAAAGGTACGAATCGTAAAGCAGTGCTGCCGTTTCAATCCCACAGCCTCTCCTTTATGGCAACAGGTGAATGGCTTACCGATGGCCTGAAGAGTTGGCATCACCTTTTGGAAAGGAGCCATTTGTTAAAATAAACTCGCACACACGACGGCAGACACCTGTTCCCGCGTGTTGCTGATATGTCTCGAAAATGGTGCAAATGCAAAAGAAACACGTTTTAAAACTAAATATTTTTTTAAAATGGCATTAATTATCCAAAGTTTTCCAGTACATTTGTGGTGGTCGTGCTGATTCACAGGAGAGAAAGTGACCCTCTCCTTCACCTGCGTGTTCCAGTTATCAGCTCGTTCATTCATGACTAGTCTTTGCAGCAGTGCAGCCTTTTAAAAATAAAATGGACACTTGAGATGTTACTAGGAACCCCTGCTGTGTTTCTGTGAACTTTCTCTATTGGCCAGTCCTTGATATAGGATGAAAAGCTCTGTGACAAAAGCAAAGACTAGCTTGTCGTACAGAAAGGGCCGAAGCTGACTGGATCACCTTATAGTTGATTGACAAGTCTAAACTTTCAGTGTTTTCCTGCCAAACAATTTTTGGTGTTGGTGTCATAATTTTGTTGAGGACAAAACAGTCTTTTCCTCTGTGCTGCCTGAAAGCACCCTTCCAACTTAAAAGATAAAGAGTATTGACTAGCACCAATATGTGCACCTATTTCTTTAATCTGTGGCTTTACTGTGTCACATTATACCACGTGGTATGTGTATGTACAACCTCCCAAATCTCAAGCATTTACCGAGATATTCTGTGTATAGAATGTAAATATAACACATGATATGCACAATATCATATAAGTTTACAGATGAGGAAAATTCTTCCAGTCCTATAGTTATCCTATAATGATTTTGGTACAAAAATGACACTATTTCCATCTTGCTTTTTGTCTGTGTCATTGCAAACGACCCACCTCAGTGACAGAAATGTTTCAGTGCTCCAGTCTGTCCTCTGGTGATAGGAGAATCCTATATAACTCTTTTTAAAAAAGAAATGGAGGCTAAGAGCTAGATTGGAGGAGTTGTCTATTCTTCTGCCTCCTGGCTGTGGGGAAAAGGCAGAGTGACGGCGTGCTCTTGAGCCAGGGCAGCCAGCTCCTTGAGGAACTCGCAGAAGATAACGGCACAGTAGACGGCGTTCTTCACTCGGAGCGCCTCGGCCTGCTTCTCCAGGCCAGAGGCCCCTCCGCCTCCGCCGCCCTTGAACAGAGCGCTGTGCAGTGATTGGCCGCCGTCCCGTACGTGTGCGAGGGCCAGCTGAGCGGCGTGTCGAGCCCGGGTCGGGCTGTTGGTGTGACGAAGGATCAGGTCTCCGAGAGATGGTTTACGACTCTTCACTGGAACAAGGAAACATTTTACAAGTTTAAAAGTCATCACAGTGATGACAAGGATATGTGACTTGAAATTTATTTGAACTCAAGGTCCACTTACAAGGTTTTTCCAGGTGGAAAGATAACTGAAACCTCCATAAAGACAAAAGATACTAAGTGGACTGTGAGTTTAAATTATTAAAAACTACTGTTTTCATGAATGTTCACACAGAATAAGTATTTTGCTCTTAAACCTTCTAAATGAAAAACAATTCTGCATGAATGTCAGCATCTTGAAACAAGACAAAATAAGGAAATTAATATTACAAAAGTCATACAATTGTAGGAAATGTCATTACACTAGCAGATTGCATTCTAATGTGTTCTATTACTTTTTTCCCTTAAATTTTGTACACACACTTCTCCAGTTTAATAGCTACACATGAAAGGCATAAAAGCAGTTCTACTTTGCCAGATTAGATTCCAGAAACCCTGCGACGCGCTCACACACGCAGTGCTCACCTAGTGAATCAGAGCGCCGCAGGGGAGGAACTGCTGCAGGCGTATCAGTCCAGTCCACTTTTCCTCGGGCCACCAGGTACTGCTGAGCTTTCCTCAGCATGGCAGGGAAGTCATCGTGGGAGGCTGCGAACGCCTCAATGCGGTTCTTCACAGAACCTAGAACCTGAGATGAGTTGGGGACAAAACTTGTACTGAGCACCTGGTTTAAAAATGCAATGCAGGTAAGGTCAAGAGAGCATTCCATACCAACATATGTATAACAGGTTTTGCATGTAGCAGTGTACCTGGATCAGTGACTTGATGCTGGGCTGGAAGACCATGTTGGTGTTGAGCAGGAAGGAGCGTAGGAGGGGCTGAGGATAGCAGGCCAGCTGGGCCACGATGCCCGTGAGCAGGATGTTGACGTACAATGAGTTTTGGAGCATGTTCTCCAGCTTGGCAAACAGAACCACCATAAATGGACCTGCCAAGAGAAACGATGATGGATCATTGACTGGAAAGATACGAGACAACTTTAGCTCAGCTGCATGTGAACAAACTAGGGATGAAAACAGAACTGAGGTGGCAAAGAGGCAGTGACTGTGAAGAAAAGGCAACAGGGTGCTTTAACAGCTTGTAGAGGTTAAACTATTGAAACTGCTATTGAAGCATGAAGCTGGTAATCAGACTACAGTGTATAACGCTGCCTAGAGTAAATCTAGCTTAGGATAACTATGACCTGGATGACTGAAAATACACATACATCTGCCAAGCATAAGCAATCGTCAAATGTGCAACTGACAGTAAAGTTACCAGGAGACGCAGTTAACCCAAGGCATGTAACACTAGCGTTAGCAGCAACTGCTACTTCTAACTGGCCTCTAAAGTCATCCATCTGAAGCCATGTGCTGTTTTATTAACAGGGACATGCGTGAACAGTGTTATTGAAAAGACCAAACTCAGGAGGATCAGACTGATCTCCTTGGCCATTATAGCTAAAAGGTATTATTTGTGTGGCAGAACCTAAAATAACAATGAAGGAAATAATTTATCCATTTTAGACACTTTTGTTATTATCAGAGAAGTAAAAATTTAAAATTGTAATTGTGACTGAATTATATCTTTTGCAATTGGTTTAGAATCGTAGTATAAATGTATCTGTCATTTTTGTATTGGATCCTGGCATAGAATAGTCGGAAAGAGAGACACACACACACACACACACCCCCCACTAAAAATTAAAAACAATTACCCCCCTTAACAATGACCTCATGCTGCACAAGTAAACATAGATACAAAAAATACAACCAATAAAGTCATCACACTTCTAACAGTGCCCCTACACAAATAAAAAGTCTAGGTTGAAAACACACATGCAGGAACAGAATGACATCAACCGTCTCACCTGTGTACGGCTGAGAGGAAGGCTGATTTAGTGGTCTAGGAGGACTACAGAAGCCCACCACAGACCCTTCTCCCTTTGCGTCACCTGTCGGCTTCACCTCCAGGGTCGAGGACAGCTGTTGTTCCTCTTCCTGTCGCTCAGCAAACAAGGACTCTCCGGCTGTTTCCTCCGGCTGGAACGCTCCTCTGTTACGCTCCTTCACCCGGTCCTCCAGCTCCCTCAGCTCCTGTGTGAAAGCCTCGATGCTGATGCCCTGGCCGTTGGAGTCTCCAGGGAGCTGTGGTTCTCCTGGTACCTGCTCGAGCAGCTCCTGGATTAGACTCTCTACAGATTGCTGCATCTGGTTGCCTTCTGGAAGATCTGAGGATGCACTGTGTGGGTTTGAGGTGTCGCTGTTCAAGAGTTTGGTGTCACACGTTGGCTGGGTGATGGAGCTCTGAGAGGGAATCTGGTTAGGGCTAAGAGATTTTGCATCACTTATTTCACTGTTGCTAAAAATGGACTGTGGGAGAGTGGTGCAGCTTTCGGAGGGGCAGGTGACAAGGGATCCATTTTGATTTGCATTTTCATCCAAATACTGCTGCTCCCCCAGGTCTCTCTTCACTTTCTTTACCTCCATTCCTCTGTCCCGATTGTCTGAGCACCTGTCCTGTTGCCCCATCGTTCCGTTATACATGGCCTCGTAGCTAACAGTGATGGGAGAAGCCGGAATGTGAGGAGCTGGGGATGAGGCGGGGTGGGACGTCGATAAAGGGGTGTCTGAAGACGAAGAGGAGGGGATGAGACGAGGTACAGGCTTTGGCAGCAGCTCCTCTCTCTGCAGGCTGCGTTTCTTGGAGCGTGGTGTGAGGCTGATGCAGTTGTTTTTGCCGATTGTAACGTCCCACTCTCCGCTGTCCCGCTCTGAGCTGCTCCACTCGGACCGTGCTGCAGCAACAATGGCTGCCCTCTGCTGGCCTGGAGGGGTGTTACTGCTTCCTCCCAGCTGGAAAGAGAAGTGCTCAGGGAACATAGCCATGGAGGGGTTGGAGGTAGGGGGAGGTGGGGGTGGAGGGGCTGTGTTTGGGGAGGGGTTTTCTCCATCGTAGGGCGCCGACCAGTCACGGCAGGCCCAGGAGCAAAGCTCGATGCCTCGCCGGGCGTCCTTGAGGTACTCCAGGTAACCCGAATCCCAGTCCAGACTCTCTGTAAGAGTCTGCTGATGATGCATCGGGCTGTCAGGGGATAGGGAGCGGGAGCTGGAAGGCTGCAATGGCTCCATGCTGGTGGGGGTAGAGGGAGCCCCTCCTCCTGATCCACCACCACTGCTCTGTTGGCGGATGAAGAAGGCTAAGCGGGACGGGGTGCTGGGTCTGGGTGGGGCTGGAGCCTCTGTGCTGGGACTGTTCAGTACTGCAGGTTGACAGAATAACTTTAACCACGGGTGAGTTCGTATAAAATGTATGGGCTTTACACATTTTAAAAAAAGCACACAGAGAACTTTTACCCAAGTTTGTGTTAATTTGATTTTAAAATTTTGTGTAGAAAAAAAAAACAACAACTGCATAATATGTAATATTAATCCGATATGCTAGAGGGCTCTATAAGCAAGTTCACCTTTTTCGGTCTATGCCTAATGGTCCTCACAAAGCATGCAAAAAGAGGTTGCATAATTATTGTCATGAAAAACTATAATTTCACCCAATAGATGAAAAAATAAAAAACGTTTTGAGTGTTCACATATCCATCCCACTCCCAAGTGTGAACTGTTTCTTTTCCACAGGTGTTGGCTCACCTTTGCCCCAGAATGCACTGTCATCGTCCCGCTCACCAGGGGGCGTTGCATTCAGCCGGCAGCACTCTGGGATCAGCGACAGGAACTTGTCTGCCGACTTTCCGTAAACATCAGCCTCCCTGATGGCACGACGCTGACTCAGCATTACATGGGTACAGGGTAGTAGATACCTGGGAGCAAACCACACACATGTTTGAACAAACCATTTAATCTGGTTTCACATAGTTAATCCCTTTTCAGGCAGTAAACCATAAATATTTTGGAAACCTTAACAGACTGGTTTGTGTAGTGGTAAAATCAATGTAAATCATTCAAGTCATTTTTGATACCACAATCAACGTACAAAGTCACAGCGGGATGTGCTGTTTTAGTACTTTAGACAATATTATTGTCTAAGTTCACAAAAAGCTTGTAAAGATTTGAAATGTGGGCACAATATGTTCTCCATGAATGACAGTTTGGGGACAGAGGAAAACAAAACTATCCCCATGTTCATTTTTTTTCAACAACCTGAAATAAGGGCACACATCTCAGCGACACAAACTGCTTCATGCCAATATGTAATTATATTTCAAAGGACCCAGATTGTATGTCTAAAAACAGATGATGGAGGGGCTAAAATACATTCCAATGACCACTAAGGACCAATAGTAACCTTGAATTCTGAATGACTGAGCATGGAGGAAAAAAAAGTAGATCTGTGTTTTGCGTGTTAAATGAGCCCATTAAAAATATAACACTTGGGAAGACATGCTGAGATCTGCAGACTGTACCTGAGAACAAGCTGCAGCATGATGTCCTCGCAGTTCAGAGAGAGAAGAGTCCTGAAGAGGCTCAACGACACCATGCAGAGCTGCAACACACACAGATAAGGAAACTAGTTAGGAAACGGTTATTATTCGGAGAGATAATATATTTGTATGCTAACTTGCATACGATGGTAAATGAAATGGATGTTTGTTGTTGTTTTTTTGTAATTTGTTCGCAAATGAAATTTCAAGGTGTGTTCTAGGAATGAACTGTGCATTTTCCAGGACATGTGGGAATCTTGTGTTCAGTAGTGCTGCCATATTAAAATGTATTCATGTAAGTGATGGCCAAAACTACAAAGATAGGACTGAAGTTGTCAAAAACCAAAGCTTTCCTTTAACACTTCTGTAATACAAATAGTCTGCCAGTGCCTATATTGGTATTTTTGTTTATTGTGATGTCATTTCTTGGAGTATCTTCAAATGCTTCATATCCATACAATCTGTACAACCTATGCTAAAAGGTTATGTAAGTCAATAAACATAATAATTGATAAAAGTACAAAAATCAGGGCATGTTTCCTCATAAACTTACAAAATAAACACACAAAACATATTCTCTGTTTCTTAACACTCCATAAGTTATTTGAACTATGTGCATTTTTTTGTTTTGTTTTGAGTGTAAAGGCACTTAATTTGTGCAAGTGCTGTATGTTCACTTGACATCGTCATCATGGTACTTCCTGTCAACTACTACTACTACAGTATGTTATACGTAGGCCTACTATCTTAACTATAAACTAAACTATGCTAACTGTGCTAAACTACTAACTCTTAATGTTTCTCTCCATCTCTTTGACATTCCTATCGAGCTGCTTAGCTGCTCCTTTGGCACCACTCATCTGGCCATCACTTGTCACGTGATATCTCACCGCATGTAATGTAACGTCATGACATCATCACAAGAGTACAACGTGATGACCAGAATGGCAGGAGCCTTTCTGCTGCAAAAAAGAATGAATGCTCAGGCTATTTTATTTTAGATTGATTTAAACAAAATCATGCAAACAACAATCTCCTGCGACCAGGAGGACTGTTTTTAAAGGGTTAAATCAGAAGTCTCTCTCTTTCTCTGCATCCCTCTGAAATGTTTAAACTACAACAAAGCAACATCAAAACAGTGATGAAATCCTGTTTCTTTTTTCTAAACACCACAAATGTCTCAGAGTGAATGAAATGTATTTATTTGGAGGGAATTTAAGATTATTTACACCTTTGACTGTGGACTGAATTACCAACTACAAACAATGTGTAACACAATACTTCTGTATTCTGCTGGAGTCACTTTCAATCAATTTTTGCTCTCAGCCCACTCACCACCCACACCACTGAGTTCATATGAGTGCCTTGAGGCTCTATCACACAGACACACATGTATTTTTATACCCTTGAATTGCTGCTGATGCGTGTGAGCAGGGTGTCCAGGATGGTGTCATTGTCGTGGCGATGCAGCAGGATGAAGCGCAGGAAGGTTTTGAGGAGAGAAGTCTCTGACACGCTACGCAGGAAAAGGTCCAGGTAGGCGGTACTGGCGATCATCTCATCCACTGACGACTACAATCACACACACACACACACACACACACACACACACACACACACACACGTATTGAAACTGCAAAAGAGGGCAGTGTGACAACTGTCCTATGAATAAGTCTAAGATTAAAAACAGGAGATGAGATAATTTCTTTAAATATTGTGAAATCACTTTTTGTTTGACTCACAATCTGACTCATCTGTTGAAGAAAGTTCGGCAAACAAACCAGTTTGCACAATTGTTTTAAGTCTCCTGCTGATTCATTTCAAACACACAATAAAAACTGTCTTCCAGTAACTCAAAAGTACCCAAAACAGAGTGGTCAATTTTCATCTGGTAGACAATTTGTGGTCCACCTTATCCTGTTTTTCTTACAGGACAAGTTTGCCCAAATCTCAAAAAAATAAAAATATAATTTTCCTACATAACCATAATGGTATCTGGCCATGCAGATAGTTTGTGTTGTTCAAAGCCTTGCAAAACTGAACCTTGGGAACTATTTTGTAATAATAAAATTGGTTTGAATGTAAATTGGATTCAGGGAGGTCTGTGATTATCCAGAATATCTGATGCCTTTCCTACCTTATGCAACGCGGGGCCCATGACAGGTACGAGGAAACCGTTGTGGAGGTAGTCCAGGAGCTGGCAGCGGACCAGGGGATGAGCGACCTGCACCACAGCATTACAGAACTCCAGCGAGTTCATGAAAAGCACGAGTGATGACACGCCCATCCAGTCCTCCCGCCGCAGGGCATGCCAGTCGTCTCCTCGAACTTCAATCTTCCTGGGCAGAGACGAGTAGAGAGCGCTGAGGCCCGTCGCCAACACCTGAGAGGAAACAGAGAGGCTTCAGATAAAATGGCTGATTCTCAACAGCCCCAGTGGGCCAGTAGGTGACTTGAGGTGCTGGCCAGCTCTCAGGTAAAAATCTGTATGTCTCCTTAAAGCACTATTATAATACTAATTGTTTTTTGGAGATTTTCACAGATAAAATGCTTGATTTTGTAACAATGTAAAAAAAAAAACCCAAACAAAAACTAGAGCTGAAACAACTAGTCAATTCATTGATTAGTAGATTGATGGAAACAGAACAGAGCCTATTTTGATGGTAGCTTATGTCATTTTTAAAGCAAACTATTTGGGGTTTTGGACCGTTTGTCTGACAAAGAAAGTAATTTAAGGAAGTAATTTTAAGATGTCACCATGGGCGTTATGATTTTTACTCTTGACTAAATCAAGAAAATATTCAGAAAATTAATAATAATTCAAGTAACAGTGAAGTGCAGCCTATAATAGATCCTACATGTTTATAATGTACACATTACTTGGTTGTGTTCTCTTGTACCTTGGCTGAAACACATTTCGTTTTCATAACACCACCAATGACTCTACGGATATGTACAACAGCTCACTTATCTACTGCACTCTTGAGAACGGAGTTGGATAAGCAAACTGACCACACAGTATGTGCAGACATGATGGACAAGTTCCAGTTTTACAGTCGAAGTTAAAGCCCTCATTTAGCTTGGTGATTTTAACGACAGCCGATAACATTGATAAAACTATATTTTAGCATTTTTGCTTGCTGGACCAGTGAAAATACACAATAAAGAAACCTGAACCTGTTCGCCAAACTAAGTAAATGCAAACGACTCAATCCAAATTCATCAAAAAAGAGCTATGCACTGAAACTGCAGGATGGGAGAAAAGAGTAGTGTGTTTGTGATGAGCTAACAGTACCACATATTAAGAGGGCTGTTACAGTTGTCTAAGAAACTATTGCTACATCCAAACATGTCGAAAGCTGATTTGAATTTCTGAGAATGCACAGGCAGAAAATAGTGAGACTCAAGCGGGGGAACATTTGGTTCTTGATTCTACCTCCATTGGCCCTTCTAGCCTGTAAGTAGGTCAGACTCAAGCTGCTGGAAGTAGGACGAGCAAAAAATAGCTGAGCCAGCTCTTTAACGCCAGAGTGAATAGGCAGAGGAAAAAGAGCACTGACCACAGCATAAACTATAGTATACCGATATACTCATCACGCAACACCGTTCACCCTCATAATGCAGTTTTAGCTAAAAGCTAACTGATGCTCATTTGCTGTAACTTGTGACCAGATATTGGCTGTCAAGACTGGATTTAGAACCGTGGTCCTGACGTTCAAATGGATGCACAAACACCTTCTCCTCGCTCTGAGTCACTATCAAAATGAAATTCAGCAGGCACAATCGAATTTAGTAGACATACATTTTAAAAGTGCAATCAGCAAAATATGGCTCTTTAATAACACCTAGTGGCAGCTGGAAAAACTACAACAATACAGGCAGCCACAGCTCCCAATCTTCTACATGTTTTTTTGTCATTTACAGTATAAGACTTCCCTTAAACATGTGAATCACAATAATCTAATTAGCATCCCCATCACTGGCAGTGATCAAACGTCTGAGAAAGCACCTGGGAAATTCTTAAAAAACAAAATCACAACTGTATCCCTCCAACGTCCCATACACTAGCCTCTAAAAACTTCTATGATAACAAAAGGTATCTTATTCCAATCAAGACATTATCTACTAGCAGCACAACGACAGCCCAAACAAGACCCTCAAATTTGAATTTATGGATCTCATTATCTACCAAAGCCTTACAGATAAATACTTTGATTTTTAATCAAAATATGGATATGATTGGTTTATGTGAAACATGGCTAAAACCAAATGTTTTCTTACCATTAGATGAAGCTTCCACACATAAGTTCACCTACTCCCTTGCTGCTCGGGCCACTAAACAGGTAGGTGTTGCTGTAATCTTTACATCTATTTTCAACTTAAACTCCAAAATAAATGTAATTCATTTGAGGCTGTTTTTAATTAATTATTTGCCTGTACCTTGTCGTGGTCTATCCCAGGCTAATTTGGTGATTGTATCTAAGTTCTTATTATTCACTCTGACAAGATCTCATTATTGGCGACTTCAATATTCGCTTAAATAGGGCCTTTCATACTCTAAGTAAAGCCTTTTTGGCACTTATTGATACTTTTGGTTTCACTTCGTTTGTACATGAACCTACTCAAAGCAGTGGTAACACCCTGTACTTTATTCTCTCCTGTGGGACAGAGGTGTCTGACCTGAATGTTTCTTCTGTCTCATCCGTGGTGTCGGGCCGCTTCTTAATTAAATTTTTTTAAAGGAAAAATAGATGACCACCCTGGTTTACAGATAAAACAGGTGCTCTTAAGCAGGCCTGGAAGAGACAGGAGAAACTTTCACCAGTTTTCTACCTCACAGGTGTTTTACTGCAGCAAGAACAAAAACCTATTTCTCTTGCTTAATCAGTAACAATAAACACAATCCCAGATTTATTTTTGATACTGTAGCTAAACTTACTCAAAAGCAGCCATCTGTCAGCTGCTCATCCTTTACGGCTCATGACTTCTTAGATTTTTTCTGTAGTAAAATAAATGACATAAGACACAAAATTATTTCCTCCTCTCCAGCTACCTCTGCAGAATCGGCCATACAATACTCACATGCTGAATCCCAGCTAGTCTCAGTTCTTACACATTTTCTCGCTCGAGACATTGTCTAAACTTCAAAACAAACTACTTGTCTCCTTGACCTTCTTACAGCTAAAATTTCTCTCACAATCTCTGGGACCTAGAATTCTGAATATTGTTAATTTAGCTGTATGCCGTTTTTTTATTTAATTTCCACTGATATGCTGATGATATTTAGCTGTACGTGCCTGTAACGACAGAAGACGATCCTCAAATTAGAAATCTAGAGGCCTGTTTTATCTGCTGTGAAATGGAAATGGATATTATGTAAAATAAACTGAGATGCCGGTCATTGGCTATGCTCAACATAGACACCAGTTTCATCAAGTAACAGTAACTGACAACTACGTTATGTCTAAAAGTTCAAATAGCCAAGAATCTTGGTGTCATGCTTGATCCTACCCTCTCTTTTGATCACACACAAAGAAAACATGAAGATTGCCCTTTTCTACTTATGCAACATAGCTAAATTGAGGTATTTTTGTCCTTGTCTGATGCAGAGATCCTCATGTCTTTATTTCATCTACACTGAACAAAATTATAAATGCAACACTTTTGTTTTTGCCCCCATTCATCATGAGCTGAACTCAAAGATCTAAGACTTTCTCTATGTACACAAAAGGCCTATTTCTCTCAAATATTGTTCACAAATCTGTCAAAATCTCTGTTAGTGAGCACTTCTCCTTTGCCGAGATAATCCCTCCACCTCACAGGTGTGGTCAGACAGCATGGGTATTGCACAGGTGTGCCTTCGGCTGGCCACAATAAAAGGCCACTTGAAAATGTGATTGGATTACTGTAACGTTTTGTTGTCCGTCCTACTAAGCACTTCTACTAAACATCTTCAAATGGTTCAGAATGCTAATTAAAAAACAGAAATTTTGACAATATTAGGGATGGGCATTTCAAGCAAAAATACAATTTGATAGTCACAGGGAACTATTCAACCATTCTTTTACGACACCCCCAGACTGTACCACTCAGCTAATAAAGGATCGCATTGTGATGTTATGTTGGCGCTCATACTGTGAACTGGAAGCTTATTTCCTCTGCAGCAGCAAACAAAATACACAACCTTAACAAAATTAGGCTGCAACATGAGCATCTAGCCTCTCACAGCGCTGTAGCCGAACTGAATATGCCATACACACATTTTAAAAATATATATTTATATATCTATATTTCTAGGGTCCTTAGACCATATTTCACCAATTTTAGCTTTACTTCATTGGCTCCCTATCCATGTCAGATCAGATTTTAAGATGCTTCTGATGACTAAAAATCAAATGGACTCGCCCCTTCTCATCTCAGACCTCATTAAACCTTATGTCCCATTCTGTGAAGTCAGTTGGCTTAAGGACCTTTTCCTGTCGTTCCTCTTTTCTCTGAATAATCTTCCTGCTGACAGTCTGGCTTTTTGCATTAACTAAGTACTTATCCTTCCATACTTCAGGCCTCGTAGCTGTTACCATTTTACTTCTGGTGGGACGTCTCCATCACAATAAATATAATTAGTTATCATAGTCCATGTTTATCCTGTAAATGACAATTCAGTTAACAGACTTCAAAAAGCCTTGTTGTTTTTTGCTATTTCATCTAAAATTAAAGTAAAATGAGGTCACAAGTTAATAAGAGATCTGTCTTGTTTTCATCTACACTTAAGACATTATTGATGTGTGTAAAGCAGCAGCAGCATTAAAGAGCCTGTGACAGATTAATCTGTTGATCTTAAATGTGGTAAATGTGTTAAGATGTCTGCAGGATGAATTCTAAGTTAAGACGGACCTGAGAGGATGCAGATAAGAGTGCATAGTCATGTCCTTCCCCTTCCATAATCACACATCATCATTGATGCATCAGAAGTAGATGGCACTCTCACACACATACACCCACACACACCTCTTTCTTAATAGCAGTGTTGAAAGCAATCCATCAAAAGCTGTCCTCAACTATCATATCATTAAAGAGTAGGTCATATTAATGTGTATGTAATACTGATGGCCCTTTTCTCTGAGCCAAAAGTGACTATAAATAATAGAGTTGGTCTTGCCATTTTATGCATACTGTTGTATATGAATGTGAATTACAGTTAAGTCAGCTAAGGGTGGGGGGAAAAGATTTTGGAAGACATATTTATATTTTCAAATATTTCCCTTGGAAATAAGCTAGAACATGTTCATAAACTGTCAAACCCAGTCGTGAGTTATTAACAATTTTACAACATAATGAATGCCTGAATATGAGTCAAGACATTCTACCACACTGGCTTTGTAAGGGGTTTAGATGCAAGTTTGATTTTGCCCTTACAAGTTCAGCTGTCAACTATCAGTATCAACACTATTAGTGTTGCTAAATTGAGATGGGCAATATGGCCAAAGACTTCATGGTAATCATGGTAACGATATTGTTCTGTAAATTCAATTAAGAAATGGTTAAAAATAACTTCATCACATTTGATTATCTTCTTCTTTTATTTGGAACCTTCCACTTTCCCAACTCCTCCTGCAATGTATTTACAATTTCACTCACCTCCTCCATGTTTTCTTCTTCTGCAGTGGTTGGCAAACCAGCTTAGAGATGCATTAACGCTACCAACTGTTACCAGCTCTGACAGCACTTGAGAATTTAGTAAGCAGTTTTGCTAATCAAATCAAGTTACCTTGCAAGGCAGCTGGATTCACGAGATTACATGAAAATCGTGAGAATCCAGTCATGATTTGCTACATAGCTGTCCCGACTATATACTAGAGATAGCTCCCACGGTGTAAACAGTATTGCCAAATCTCTACCGGTGCTACGGTTGCCTGCAGTTTGATAAAAACTTGGGGGGAGTACATTAAAAAAAAAAAAAAAAAAAAAAAAAAAAAAAAAACTGCACTACTATACAATACTAACGATAAATTCAGCATGATGCTTCCTATAACAACATAGTTTTTATGAACACGATCACTCACTGGGCAGAAGTAGGATTTCTCAGCGATGTAACGTGCCACAGCCTCGTGGCTGGCCGAGGCCGCCATGACCAGCAGCAGCGCGTCTCGCGCCTGCTGTCCGATGGCTCCGTCCCGGTGTATGAATGGCACGAGGAGGGAGAAGATCAGCAGATTGGTGGAGCCCTGCTGGGCCGGTGCCGCCTGGAACAACATCTCTAGAACCACAGGCTGCCGGGCCATGGACACACAGACCTGGTGGGGGATTTACAGTCTCAAAATTAAAAACAGAACCATAGAAGTCTAAAACACTGATGAAAAATCAGTTCTATTTGATTGTAATTTTAGGAAATTATGTCTGATAATGAAAGATAATCCCTTCTGAGGCAACCTGATATATAAAAATAATGGAACAGACCACCAACTTCTATAGCTTCAGCCCCGGCCAAATTTTTATTGTTCTGGATCAGGACATGTCAGAGTGTTGGATTACAGTGTCACATAACTTGCTCGTATGCCTTGATCACAAAAAAAAAGCTATTTTCAAATCATCATCCATGTTTCAGGGGAGTCAGCAGCCAGTTTTAACAAGCACTAACAAGTAACAAGCACTGTTATAATGGATGCCTGCAATACACTGTACCTTATTCTCAAATTCTGAACACCGGTTAACTCCTTAGTGAAACTATGTTTGTGGTGTCCTGTACTATGATTTTAACAGAAAGCCACAAGTCAATCAGAAAACAGCCATGGCCACTATGTAAATAAATTAGAGATACAAGCACGCCAGGTATGGGTCAAACATTTTTAACACTTTCTCCTGATTTTAGGAAAGCTGATTTCACTGAAATTAAGCGCTTTCTTTCCTTTTGCAGTTAAATTAGCAAGGTAAAGTTCAGTTGTGTGTTCCAGTGAAAACTTCCCCATAAAGTTGCCAAAATTATCATAGTCCTCCTCAGTCATTTCTCCTTTCTGACCGTCAAGACTAAAAAATCTGTGTAATGTTGGTAAAAATAGTCATTACATGTGGGGTATCTAGTCCTTGTAGGTCTTATGATCTGTTTTCAGCTTTAGATAAAATTTAGCAAATTTGTCTCAAAGGCTAACAACGAAAAGTTCTTATGTAGATTGTAGGTAACTACATTAGAGAGGTATATAGGCTCCAAGTGAATATACCTGGTTGAGCAGCAGTACCAGACTGTTCTCCAGGGCTGAAGGACAACCAAGTTCTGGGTCAGCGCAAGCTCCCAGTAGCCTCAATAGGGGGTGGAGGACGGCTGTGTGCTGCAGAAGAGGCTGCTGGGACTGGCCGATGAGCATCTCAAACAACTTGAGCAGCGCCCCCTGGCTGTCTGGGTCCAGGCCGCGGCAGAGGTGCCACTGAACCAGACACTCTAGAATATTCTCGGTGACCACCAGCTCCAGTATGGGGCCCATAAGTGCCACGCCGGCACCGCCCTCTGAGCTCTCAGCAGGCCGCTCCTCCGCCAGCAGACACAACATCTGGTCGGTGTGATTCCTCACTGCCGTCAGGTCATCGCTGGAGGACGAAGGCTCGTGCTGCTCCAACACCCAAGAGACCTGAATAAAGGAACAGTGTTGTAGTGTAATGTTTACGTTTTTAAATTATTGTCCTTCTATGAGAACATATAAAAATAAGTGTGACCTCTAAAAGGCGTTTCATGCCATTTATACAGATAATGAAAATTACAGTTGTGCGCCACAACAGCTGTCACAGATGACACAGAAGTGCCTCACTTTACTGCTCACGACAGATTAAACCGTATTTGTTACATGGGGAGTAGTGAACACTGGAGTCAATACAGACACATAATCTTTGTGAAAAAGGCCTAGTTGTCATGGATTTAAGATATAATGCACTGTCAAATCTGAAGATCTTTGCCCCTTTTTAATGTGTTAGCTGCATGTTCTGCCCTTAAAAATATACTTAAGTGTTATATAAACATTTAAAAGAAATTTGTACAAAATAACTATTTAATTTACTGAACTTTTAAATGCATTGACAGATATTATAAAAGCAGTAAGAAATTGTTACTGGCACTGCAACGCTGTTTTTTTTTATAGATAACAATGTAACATAATAGCATAAAAGTGGTGTCAAAAAGAAATTGACAAATGCAGAGAGGTCTCACAACATTTATCAAGAGGTCCAGCAGTCAGCATGACTACAGCAATGATGAATTTTAGATAATTCAGATAAGGGATGTGCTTCTTGTGTTTTAGCAGCTTTAGAAGAGTGCGGTAAATGTTGCAATGTTGCACAACGCTTATTTGTGTTTGTACACACACGCCTTCCCACAAAACCACTTGTTATTTCATTTCCACTTACACATAGCTCGACAATCTAGACATATACCTCTACCTTCCTCTTAAAAGCTATGAGAACATATGATTGCTATTCAAAAAAACTGACAGGGTTCCCCAGCTTCCATCCACCCTGAACACATGCATGTTAGGTACTTAGTACTAGAACAACTGCAGCTATATGTAGGGGTAACTGTAACATCATGTTGTAATTCAGCTGAAACATGTCCACCTATTAAGACTACTGTTTAACAATGGATTCCTCCTTGAACAATAAAATAAGCCTCCATGCAAAATGTCTGTCTAGAAAGAGTATGGTTGCAAAGCTTACATACACACACACACACACACACACACACACACACACACACACACACACACACACACACACACACACACACACACACACACACACACACACACACACACACACACACACACACACACACACACACACACACACACACACACACACACACACACACACACACAGCCTCTGAGTTATGTTGCCTCAATTCAACAGTTAGGAAGTGGCAAGGCTCTGTAACCTATAAAACGTTAAGCCAGAGATTGGACATGAGCCAGTCACACTATTAAAGTCGACTGACTGACTACTCTCATCAGCACTGGCACAGCCAACTGAATGTGTTAACATTCACACTTGGACAGATAATCATTCACTAAAAGAACCTTAACATCATAACTGATCTTGTTGTCATTCAGTGTTGACCAAAATTGAACACATACTTTTCATTTGTGTGCTGTTGAAGACAAAACAAAGAAAACAAAATGTGCAAATACTTTCTCAACTATTGTAAATTGCAGAGGTGCAACAGATTAATCAACAGGAAAATGAATTCTCTGTTAATAATAAAAAAGATATTTGGTTAGTTATTTTGTCATTTTATTTGAGGATTTTAAAATCCAATATGCCGATATATCGGCCAATATTCTTTTCCACCCTTATTTTAAGAAACACATGATATAAACAAAGATTATCCCAAAGATTATAACATTTGTTGTTGAGACAATACCAAGATACCATGACTGTTATAAACGCTGATGCAGATATACCTGCAAGTAGCTTATATCGGCCAATAATAAAATAACAATAAATCGGTCGGGCTCTAGTGCAAACTGAACAGGCCTGGTGTGTCTCTGGCTCACCTGTCTCCAGTGGTTCTCAAACACCATGAGGCAAGTCTCCGGGTCAGCAGTGCAGGGGCTGGAGGGGGCGGCACTCCGGCCGGACCGACTCCCGGGACCCCGTGGGTTCAACCTGCTCAGCCAGCTCATACTGGACCCAGTGAGAGGCAGGTCACAAGAACTCAAAGACGAGAGGAGTTCCAGTAAAAATAGAAGCAACGGAGGGCAAAAAGAAATTAAGAGGGAAGAAAAGGAAAGGGGGAGGAGGAGAGGGGGATAAAGGGGAGGGAAAGTGTATCTAACAAGAGAGACGGAGGGGAAGGAGGTCAGCTGCAAACGCGCTGTCACTGCCAGTCAGTGTACGTCTAGGCAAAGCCTGCCACTGCTTCAGAATCTGTGTGACCCTTTCCTCCCTGTAGACCCTGTCATCCAGTCTGAAGCCAACACCACTCCATAGCCAGTCAGGACGGGCACTCTGCACTGTGTAAACAAAAACACAGGACATACACATCAATATGTAAACCTGAATCTATAAGACATTTCACAACCTTCCAAACCATTCTTTTAAAGCTCCTAAAATATTTCTGTGTTATTTTGTGTGTTTTCTAAGTGCATATTACATGAATTTCTTCCTGTTTTACCCTAAAATTCTACACGTCCGAAGCCCACCACATCAATAAAATTCTGAAAGCATATTATTCGTGCCAGCAGTTCAGGTGAGAATTATGGATATAATATTCAGTTACAGTATATTTAATTTTGCATCAGGACACTAAATTTGAATTGAATTAAATATTTAAACACAAATGGGATCAAATGTAATTCAGTTTTTCCCTTTAAGCAGCCCTACTCATTTACTTCCTGTATAGCGTGAAATGGTCCCATACAGCCAAACATAAAATAGAGCACCGACCAGCCATAAGATAATGGCCGCTCACAGATGAAGTAAACAACACCGATTATCTCGTTACCATGGTAGCTGTCAGTGACCAAGTTGATGTGTTAGAAGCAGGAAAAATGGGCAAGCATTACGATTTGAGCGACTTTGATGAGGGCCAAATTGTGATGGCTAGACGACTGGGTCAGAGCATCTCCAAAACTGCAGCCCTTGTGGGGTGTTCCTGGTCTACAGTGGTCATTAGCTATCAAAAGTGGTCCAAGGAATGAAAAGCAGTGAACAAGGTCATGGGCAGACAAGGCTCACTGATCCACGTGGGGAGCGAAGGCTAGCCCTGTATAGTCGGATCCAACAGACAAGCTACTGTAGGTCAAACTGCTGAAAAAGTTAATGCTGGTTCTGATAGAAAGCTGTCAGCACACACAGTACTTTGCAGTTAGTTGCGTATGGGTCTGCATATCTGCAGACCAGTGCAAACAGTGGGCACATGAGCATCAGAGCTGGACCACGGAGCAGAAGAAGACAAGCCGGCGGAGGCAGTGTGTTTGGGCAATGTTCCGCTGGGAAACCTTGGGTCCTGCAGTTCATGTGGATGTTACTATGACACTTAGCACCTACCTAAGCATTGCTGCAGACCATGTAAACCCTTCAATGGAAACTGTATTCCTTGAAAGCACTGGCCTCCTTCAGTACGATAATGCCGATGCCACAAAGCAAAAAAGGTTCAGGAATGGTTAGTAAATTCAAGGTGTTGACTTGGCCTCCAAATTCCCCAGATCTCAATCCAATCGAGCATCTGTTGGATGTGCTTGACAAACAAGTCCGATACGTGGAGGACCCACCTCGTAACTTACAGGACTTAATGATCAGCTGCTAACATTTTGGTACCAGATACCACCAGCACATCTTCAGAGGTCTAGTAGGGTCCAAGCTTCAATGGGTCAGGACTTGGCAGCAATACCAGGCAGATGGTCATAATGTTCTGGCTGAGTGTATATCATCTGTGCTGAAGACCGGCTGTGTTTTTTTTCTGTGTTTTCCTAAATAAACCTAAGTCAGCTCCTACAGTATGTAGTTAGTGGGGAAGCCATTCAGTCCTTCTGTGGAAAAGCTAGAGCCCATCTACCTTCTGCTCAACATGGGAGTAACTGCCTGTTCTCTATTATGGATGCACATTCCAAGCAATTAACTTGCTTCAATCATCAGTCAAGGTAATGACATATGCTTTTCATCAGTGAAAGCTTTATTTTATCATGTTGAGGGATTATTGCCCCAGAACCATAGCAAATTCAGAACTTGAATCAAAATTGCCCATTATACATCAAACTGAAAGACAGGAAGGTTAAACAAAAAAATTTGTATAATTTAGAGGCTGTACTCATGGGCATAAATAAGATGAAATTCTATTTAAAACAAAGAATAATCTGTTCTTGTATCAACTAAAAGGATCCAGCTAACAAATGCTGACATCAAGAAAAAGAAATAGGATGTCCTGACAACAAACTGAAGTCTTAGTAGTTTTTATTTGGGAACATGAGAGGATTAACATGCTCAGAGTTACACTGTGTGACAAGTGTGTTCTCTGGAAGTCTTTGTTGATATTAAAAAAAGGTTGATCCATTCTGCATAATATCGCAAAAAGCAAAGATAAAAAAGAAAGCAGCCACGGTGAAGTTATAAAGAGTTCCAGGGAACAGGCACTCGTTCTTCAGTTTTGACAACTCAAACCTCCAACATGTCATTTTTATCTGTGACATCTTTGCCGTTATGTTGAAGAGATGGAAATTCAGCATGCAAGTCTAACTGTTGAAAACACCTGCATGGATTGAACTAATGTCTGACTCGCATTCCCCCAACCCCCTCCCACGTCTCCCCCTGTAAATGTTTCTACAATACAAATCCAACTAAATAGCACATGTAAATAACTGCCACATTGCACATAGTCTCTTTTATTTATTTTATTTATTCTTAACTTTTACATCTTCTTTATTCCATGATTTAATGCATATATACATGTTGTTTATGTCTGGCACCTACTCCTTGTATGTGTAAAAAGCGGATTCGGATTTCTGATGTCCTGGGGCTGAACACATCCTTTTGCTCCACCTTTGTGCACTGCTAGTTACCGTATTCATTCATTATCATCATCAACATCCCAAAGCCCTTATTTAACTGCTATAATGATTCATCTAATAGAAAGGTGCTTCTCTCTATGTCAAAACATGCATTTAAGTAATGGGGTTACTGTTGACTTTCAGTAAGAGTATCAAATAATAACAAAAAACTCCTATGACTGAAAAACATTCAGTTTTTCCAGAATATAGTTAAATACACTACCTCCGTGCTGGGCTATCACATCCTGATAGCTCCAAAAATATCTGCCGGAAGCAGTGTATTAAGTGATTTATTGTGAGGATTACTTGGAAATGACTGAACAGATGGATCAACAGTGGAGAAGTGGATTATGCTGCACAAGTGGTTTTGATGCCTTTTTTTGCTGTGGCTCTGTGTCGCCATTGGAATCAATGAAGGGGCAAACTCTAAACATTTGAGACTCACCTTTCAAGCCAACAGGCCTATTTGATACTTAAAAGATAGATTTTTTTGACGTATTCCTTTAAGGGAAACACAAGTTATCAGAGATAGATTGCTGCTGGAGAAACACAATTTGACTGTAATGCATTTAGCTCACAGTTAATGTCACAAGCACTGGTTAATGGAGTTTGAAACCTATTTCTGTGAAGCTGTTTTCTTTTATCTCCTAAGTGTTTGAATAAAAGATAGTTCATAAGACCCCAACAGCAAGGTTCAACGCAGTAATTGAGTTGAGGGTAACACCATTGTTAAGGAAGTGTAGATGAATAAAGTTAAAGTAGATTACAAACTTATCGGTTATTAACTGTGGCCACATGATGTGGACTTGGGTCAGACAAAAGTAACAGATTTGATCTCTTCTGGCTCAGCTTCCCTAAGTCATTAAGGTAATGCTTTTCTTTATTGAGTATCCTTACACAAACAGCACTGAAAACTGCAGGTAAAATGTAATGTCCACACTTTTTTTAATTATTCACCAGCCCTCAGCAGGTTAGTCGAAGTTAATGATACTCATGTTGCTCTGAAAAAACAAAACCAAATTTTCTTTAAATGCACTAAATTAATCTATATCCAGACATTAAAGTGGGAAGAAACTCAACCCACAAGGTGTCAAAACAGGCATCTACAGCAAGACTGAAAATAAGCTCACCATAAAAGCAATTACCTTAAACACACGTAAGCCAGTCTTCAGCGACAAAACTTGCCGACTGTGACATGCAGGACTCGGTTAATACGCAGTAAACCACATACGGAAATTCAAGATGTTTTATATTCAGGTCACACACACACACACACACACACACACACACACACACACACCGCATCATAAAAACCACCCATAAAATGAGTTCAAAGTTCAACTACAGATTACACTAAAAGGAGGCTGCCTTTATAAAGCTGAAGAGAATTTGTCAAAGGTTAGTGATCAAACGCTTTCAGCTCGCCCTGACTGTTATAATCTCACACTACAAAGTCTACAGGCCAAGATATACTTCAGTTCAGACAGACTAAAAGTTTAGAAAAGCTTACTTCCAAAGTTTCTGCGACTTCCTGCAACGGACAACCTGACAGCCACACCTGCTTTCTGCAGGAATTGTCCAGGTGTACACTAGTGTGAAAATAGGTGGAGCTCCAAGGTCTCCGCTAATTCTGTCCTTCAAATTCCTCCCATTTCTACTGTCTGTTTTTAATGTTTAACTTCACTGACTACTTCTTTGTTTTCATAGCTGATATTTAGATCAGAGCTGATCCCGACTCCCCCTAACCCAGGCTAATGTGCAGCTCTTAAAAAAAAAAAAAAAAGAGAGATTTTAGCCTTAAAAGAGAACTGATCACAAATGTTGTCATGTGGGTCACTTTCAGTTAGTTCTCTGTTGATGTCAGTGACTGTACCCAAGTGAAACAGAACAAACTATAAATGCATCATTTTGTCATTTTGTCTTAATGCAAGGCAGAACTTTGCCCATATAAAATGCAATCAGATTAATTATCAATTAACATCAGTCTTATTTTCTTGATAAAGTGAAATAGTGAAACTTGTCCATCACAATTTCCCACAGCTCAAGGTGGCATTTCTGAATTGCTTGTTTTGTGCAACCAACACTCCAGAACCCAAAGACATTAAATGTACCGAGCTGTCAGCGCAAGACTCCGGCCCGATGACAGGAGGTGGACTCTGGGAGGAGGTTGACACTGTTCCCCAAAAGTCTGACTTTTTAATGAGAAGGTGAATGTTCGGCATGTATATATGTATATAAATAACTGTGTATATTGTTGAGTTTTATTTTTGATGAAACCATTTTTTAATATGAACTTAATTACACGTTAAGTTCCGTGTGTAGCACATGTGACAAATAAACAACCCTGTATCAAGACTAAGACGAAAAGCAGCAAATATTCCCATTGGAGATGGTTAAACGAGTGAATTTATGGCGTTTTGTCTATAAAAAGACTGATTGATAATTAAATTAAAAATTAATTGTTTCAGATCTAATGCTGTCAAACATTTGCTGAATTATTTGAGTATGAAAGTTCATGCTTGACCTTGCTAATGGAAGCCACAAGGTTAAAAAAAACAAAAACAAAACAACAACACAGGAAGAGGCTAGCAAGAGGACACTGAGTTCCATTTGTCCATTTTTTTTTTTAAATATTGAGATTTAAAAATAAGTTAGAAAAAGTGAAATACACAACAAGCCAAGTGTAGTTGAATATAGTTGTTTAATACAATGTGCTACAGACACATTTCAGCCAATACTCGGAGTACTGATATTCAAAATGCAGCCCTACATTTGAGAACATTTGTCCATCATAATTTAATCCGTCTGCCGCTTTGGCCGCAATAGCAGTCCAAAACAGAGTCACTCGCAGGGGAACGATGATCCTTGATCTCATGTTATTGTTGCCTGTCATTGTTGTGTGCCGTTAGTTGTATTTCTGTGTGTAACTGGTGTGAGATGATGCGTGTCTTCCCTGATATACAGTGCCGTGAACTTCTGTCATTTAAAACTGATCAAGAGAACTGATTTACTTAATCTTTAGATGCATTGTGAGTACAGATTACTGTTAGTATTATTCTGAAGTGATTATTATCGTCATGGTATTCTCCAGAATGGCATACCCCCACCTTTAAATGCTTTAGCCACAGTTGACAAGGGTTAAGATGGCTACTAATTCAGTCCTTGTGGCTGAGTTTCATAGAAAACATATGACATATTTTACTTTTAGAATTTTCTCTCTTTTGTTTTTAAAATGTCATTTTATTGTTTGAGTTATTTAAGTACATCATTTTTTATTGTTTATATGTGAATTTGTGCTTTGGCAACATTGTTTACCTAAACATTCATGTCAATAAATCTAATTGAAATGAAATGACAGATCTTATCATGCAAAGTCAGACATCAGTCACTGCAGTGTTTTGGGGTCATCTGTCCCCTTCAGTTTGACAGACTGTTAGCGCACCCAGCTCTTGAACGCAACCATCAAGTAGTTCGACCTTGTCTTTAAACTTATTAATTACATAACGTTATCTTATCGGCATTTGGGCTTTACATCTGATCTTGAAGTAATCATCTTGTGCCAGATCTCATTTTAGCGAGCCGAAGCCGCTTAACGTTACATTGAGGTCCGCCGGAAAACAACAATCACTGCATGTCAACGGCGAGATGATGTAGCAAGCTAGTTGATACAGCAAAGATTAGCCAGCTTTGACATGTCAACCGTGTATATAGTTCATATATCGCGTTGAAGCGCTAGTGCACTTTAATGTAAGTTAAATTCGAAGTTACTCACCTTGGATATTTGTAGGAGTCTTAACAGTGGTTGCGAGGCGCTGATTTCCACAGATACCTGGTTAGCTGGTTGCTAGTAACTTAGCGCTGGTGGGTTGCTAACGACTAGCTGCTAATGAATTCCACAATGTCAGAGCAGTAAACGGATGATCAGCGTGCAAGTAACCTGGAGACAACCGGCGAGCTAGACCACACTGAGCCTGGGAAGCTAACAAATTAACCACTCCTTCATTCGGGCTGATGTGCATCCTGTTAGCGACAGATAAACATCCCATTTGACGATTTCTCAAACAGTATTCCCTTTCCCGCAGCCATCTTACTTTAACTCCTCCCACACGACTTCTCTGACTCACACCCACCACACCGACGCTGCTCCACGCCGCTCCACTGCTGTATGAAGGGTTTAAAGTGCCAGAATTAAGGAGCGAACACTGTGACCTAATTCCATACAAACACTTTTAACTGTACACTGTGTGCTTGTTGATAAGGGTTCAAGATGGGCCGCTAATACATGTTTTATTAGAGTCTCACTTGCCTCCTTAATGCCCACTTCTTAAATTCAAACCGCGCACACTTCGTAATGTTTGCAAGTTTTCTGTTAAAAATGTTAGGTCTCGAGCTCAAGCTGAGGTAACCCTGATACCATCAGTATGACATCACCTGGATCAAACTTTAGAAGACATCATATAGGTTGAAAAGTACAAGTAAACAGAATTTCACTGAATGTCCTCTGAGGATCACACCCAGACTCTTGACCTGAGGGGAGGGGGAAACTGTGGAGTTGTCAATGGTGAGAGAAAAACTGTCAGATGTAGTCAAAGTGGATTTGGTGCCAATGAGGAGAACCTCGGTTTTGTCACTGTTAAGTCTGAGGAAGTTGCAAGAGAACCAGGATTTGATTTCCGTTTGGCCATTATGTGATAAACATTGTTGCTATGGCAAAGGTAATCTTAAACTCACCTGAAGGTCATAAATCCTGAGGATCTCTGCAGGGCCTCTGCTCTCTTGGCCTTCTGCCTGTACAGGGCAATCAGTTGTGATGTGTATCTCTCAAGCTCGCAGTAGAATTGGTTGCATAGGTTCAACATTTGTAAAGTGATGAACTCAGCAAACACCTGCAAACACATAAATGTATGCAGATTAATGGTTTCCAACTTGGGCCTTGACTGAAAAACAATGCATCAATTCCTTGTTTTAAGCAGGATGGCTGACTATATGGCAAAAAGAATACAGTTTTTACCTGAGAAATGGACATGGACCACTGCATTGACAAGAAAAGAAAATGCAGGGTCATCCTGCAAATTTCTTTAACCTAACTTAGGTTTGCTGTATCAAAATGAAAGATTATGTGGCTAGGAATTGAGTAAGCCAATCAAATATATTTTAAATTAGACTAATTGTATAATATTTCATCATTTAGCTTCTATATGAAGCAACAAACACCAACACAGACCCTTGTGTTTTCTCTCAACAGTGCCATTTTTGGTCTGACCAAGTTTGAGACAGAATTTCAGTCAGGTACTAAATAGTTTATATAAACAGGGCTCAACCTTAAACTGTTTTGCAACTGGCCCCACCGGGCCAGTGGGTTGGAAACTTACTGGCCCGAAGACAGTTTTTACTGGCCCTCCCTCCAAAAGTTATTTATCAGTGTTACAACAAAACCAAAGACTTAAGTTATGTTATTATGATAACATGTTTAATCTGTTATTAAATACATCCTGGATATAAAAAAACTAAACTAAAATGTAATCACAGTTAAAATTATAAAAAAAATAAAAAGGTTAACAAAACAATTTACTTTTAAAACAAACACACAGACTCAAACATGACGTGCTCTCACTCCTGCTGACAGCCATTTAATAAAGAAAGTGGACACAGAGCAGCGGACACCAGTCGGCTCTCTCCTGATTGACAGGTCGCCATGGTAGCGACATGTCAATCACAAGGTATTTTTCCCTAAATAGGACCAACTATAACTGCTCCCAAGCTTTTCTTCTGCTACAGATAAGCCACGCTCCAACTGATGTTTGACCAGTATTTATTTTTTCCTTTTCACAAATAATCTTCTTTTGACCAGCAAACACCGTGAAAAACTGAAATAATATAATCACAAACACAATCACTTTCAGTATGAAATATAATCACAAAATATCATCAGTTCAAAATAAAATAAGAACATGCCATGTGCGCCTTCTGCACAGACATTTAGGAGCCGTTACAATTTTCCAATGTCGCAGCACAGCCTTCTGAAACTCTCTTTTCTTCCCTTTTTGCTTCTGATCGAAGCTTAACAATCAATTATACTTAATTGATCATGTGAGCCCAGCATGCGCTTCATTTGGTGTAATTCACAAGTTAAACAGTAGGTGTCACTATTACTCAAGAGAAACCAAATTACACTCAAAAAACATAATTCTGAACACATGACACAGTAAACAAGTACCTTTTACTGCGACAGCTACACCAACATTTACTAAACGAGAATCACGCTGTGTTGAAGAATACTTGAAACTAACGACTGAGACCATAAACTCGTTATGAAAGTGTTTATTGAGGTAAGAATTCGGTTGAGAAATAGCAACATTTAACCATTATTTCTAATGGAACAGGACTTCTTTATGCAACCAGCCGACTCGCCCCCTGCTGGCCGTTAGAGAGAATGCAGGTTTAAGTTCCGTCTGCATGGTTTCACTTTCAGACCCAGAGGTTGCAGCATGATTGAGATTAGAGAAATAACATTTGACAACCACTCACGTAACTACAACTCTGGATTGGACAATGGTGCGCGCCAAGAGCTGCAAAACAACTGCAGGATGTAGAGTTTCTAATTCTTATTATTTTTTAAATAGGCTGTTTTTTGAGTTGCTATAGTTCAACTGTCCCGACGTTACTTTTTACTGGCCCCGGGCCATCGGGCCCTCATTGCTGTCGAGCCCTGCATAAAGGAGTCATTCAACCCTCTCATCATAGGTTTATAACAGCCTTTAACAGAGCCTACAGTGAAAAATGTTTACACTTAATGCTGTAATTGATCTACAGTTTTCTCAGCTTTTGATCACTGCCAATCATTTCTGAAAGAAATCAGAATTTTAAATTGCTAAATATACATATTCATTATAAAATTTCACAGTTACAGTTGGACTAATGCACTTTTCTAAAACAGTACAATATCCCCCCTACCTCTCAAGTCAGGGCTAAAATATCTTCTTTCATGTTAAAATGTCATCCACTGTGAAATGTTGCTGACTCCAGTTCTAGCAATGTAGTATTTTTTTATATTCTCAGTATGTCTGATTAGCAAGCCAGCAATTGACACAGAAATATGCAAATCGATAATATTTTATAATTTTTCTGACTCACCAATATCAGAGCTGCTTTCGTAAATTAGGTGATTATGGGCATTATGAAATTAATGGGGACACAATATATGAACACCAACGTTTGATTAGTTTACAAAATAAAGGTCATGTAGGCTAAACACTTCTCACAAACATGTGATATGGGCAGAGTTTATTGTTGTGAAAATGTATTTAGTCTTAGGCTTAGTTACCAGTTTATTTGGTACATCTAGCTAAATTTAATGCAGTCTAATCCAACATTTCTGCAATAAATCCTCCCTTCATAAAAATGATAATGTTCAGTTTTTGTTGCAACTGTACCGTTTTGGATCACATGGACCGGAGTTTCTGATATTTTGTCTATCCCATTTATATTAGTGATGCCATGCTAAATAAAAGGGACTCAGCTGTTTATAACGCAATACAGTTCATCAGACCATCTACATCTGCCAAAATGAACAATGTCTTTGAAGCTCGAGGAAACTCAGCGCTAGAGTTGCCAACTGTCCCGTTATTAGCCGGGATGTCCCTTATATTGGGCCTAATTTAGTTGTCCCATACGTGACCTCTCTTGTCCCGTTTTATGACTACTACGCTCAGGGTGCGAACTACGGGAAAGCGGGAAATTAAGGTCAGGTCGCAAACACAACCGCAGCTGATGATAATAATTCTAAGACAAACATTTCTGATACTTTTACAGTCAGCCCCAGGCCTACTTGCTTGCAGATATTAATGATTCAGCAGTAAGAATCACAGTCTGTCCGCCCCCTAACGCAGGTTTTTCTGTGTCTGATGGAGTGCGAGTTACTTGACTTTTATGAAGACAGTGATGAAACTGCAAATGGTATTGGTCAAGATCTGATGAACTGCCTGAAAAAGCATGAACTGGAAATAAAACACATTAAGTAGATATGTTCTTTTTAGTGTGTCATATGTACATGAAGGGGATAACCTTCTCTAAACCTATAGTGCAAGAGTCACAAGTGTTTAGTATTAGACAAATAGTAAAGGTAACAGGTAGACTAGTGGTTTAATTAAAGGGCTGTGCTTAATGTACCAGCTGTAAATAACTATTATTAAAGCAACCAAATAATTAATTGAGAGTAGCTATCATTATGACAAATACACTGTATATTCACACAAAACCATACCTGCACTGCTACAGAAGTGCCACCTTTTGTCCCTGATTTCATAGTGACAAAGTTGGCAACACTACTCAGTACTCAGGTACACTTAAGAGGACAGATCTATTAAAACAGATTACAACACATATAAGTTAAATATAAACATATTAAATACTTACATACATACAAACATAATAATTACAACTGATCTGACTTGAAAATCTGCGTTCAGAGACTGCTTGTTAACTTATATGAAGGCATAACATGACTGTCTCCACAGTAACGTTATAGGACTAAAGTAACGTTAACTAAGTAACAGGAGTTCAGCACAAAGTGAAAATTAACGTTACCTCATTGTGTTAGCCAGCTAACTTCAAGTTAAAGTTACCGTTAGTCTTTCTGGTAACATTACTGCGCCCGAAAACAGAACCTTTTCACTTACCAGACCAAAGCGCATGTAACAAGGAGCAGCCCAAGATGAAAATTCGTAAGTGTTGACGACTGTCTGGAAAGGTTTCAGCTACTGGTGATAAGTTACGTTAGCGTACGATAGCTAACGTTAGCATAACAGGAATGCAGCAAACTGACTCCACATACTGCCTCTGGTCATCCCAGTGTATGGTTATAAAATAAAGTCACAGAACAGAAAAAACACTTTCACAGTGCTGCAAAGAAAGCTGGGTTCTCTCGAACTTTGTAAATTAGTTAATAATTAACAGTTTTTCAACATTGTGCAACTTTTGGCGAGGGGCTTCACGTTTGGTGGGAGAGTCAGAGGTTTTACCCAATCAGCTGCAACACATTTGTAAACATAGCTGTGGTTAAAAATGAAGTAAAAATCAGTGCGCTTGCATAAACAACTGTATGTTCGAGGCACCACCGTTTCTGTTTAAAAATATATGTTTTGCTAGGTTTTGTCCACTGAATTCAGCCTGGATCCAATGGTGACGTCAAGGTCCTCCAGTTGCGTCCTCGCTCACACCACGCCCCCTTCATAATTCAGCATCATTTGGCGCCAAAATCTCATGACGTACGACGCTCGGACATCATTGGTCACATGGAATGTAGTGACACCTACTGGTCACTTTTGATATCGACACATCTTGGTAGGGGTTTCATTGAAACAATGAATGACCCGCTCTTACAATTCTAAACGTCTTCAATACATGACCAACACGATTTTGGCGAAATCACCATACAACAAACAAACGCTTTCAGATTGTCAGAGACAGCAGATGGGGATTGCATTAAAAGTGTGTTTAAATAAAATACATCTGTGTGTTGTTTCCTAAGTAATCACACATTTAGCTGAGGCTTTTCTCAAAAGCGAATCACAATGGCTATGTCAGAAGTCGCCCCCCTGGAGCAACTAGGGGTTAAGTTTCTTGCTCAGGGACACATGTATCCCAGGGGAAATCGAACCCAGGTCTCTCACATCTAGGCATATGTCTTAACCACTACCCCATAGAGACAACCTATTCATTTTCAGAATCGGAATAGGCCTACTTTAGACATGCAAGGCATAAAAGGAATAGAAATAATAGGTAGAGAATTTAATAAAGTATACAAATCCAAGAATATAATGATAAATGATAATAAATGTGGATATCTACAGTATGATACAGTAGCTTACACCTGTGTTAATAATTATTAATTAATAGCAGGAAAGATATAGGCCCTAGTGTAATAATAAATAATGAGCGCTGGCAGTAATGAGGTGTAATGGATTAAAAATCCGTAACTGAGTCAAGAATGATAAAAGAAAAGGGGAACAATGTCTCACATTTGTTATATGTCAAGAATTTTATTCAGAAATATTCAGCTGTTTTGGGGCTGAGTCTGTTTTTTTCATAAGTGACATCCCCAGCCTTCGAAAAATTTGGTCACATCATGGAACATTTGTTGCTGGCAAAGAAGTATTTTTTTGCCATCACAGGCCTACAGGTGCGGATATACTACAATAAATCAAAGGATCGTGTGTCCTTGGGACCAAAACAACATGTCAAATTTAAGCCTTCTGAGAGTTAGTGGCTGATGTGTGGTTTGTTCCAAAGACTGTGAATCAAGCGTAGAGGCGGCAGGTGTGCCACCTGTCGAAACAGGGGTGAAACGCACCGAAGCCTCGCTTCACTACGGTCACGTGACATTGACGTTTTGAACCACGCTTTGGAGCAGTGTTTCGAAACTAGTGATGTGCGATACCACTTAATTCCTATCCGATCCAATACCAAGTAATACGCAGGCTGGTATTGCTGATACCGATACCAATACATTTTACATATTTTATTTCTAGTTTAATGTGACCTCCCTCCTCCCGTTTCTATATTTATTAGAGAAATAAGGAGTAGGCTGTAGCATTACCAATTCAAAATAATAGCTGCATAACGACAAGACATCAAACTAAAAAAAAAAATATCCTGCTCAGAACTGCCGCCGCTTCATAACATCATCCTATTATTTTGACTTAATCTCAGATGTTTAGCGAAGTTTGCAGTGTTGCCAAAGTATTTCACTGTCTTTGCACACACATCACACAGAGCAACATTATTACCTTCACAGCTAAAATACAGCCAGGCGTGACTGCTTTTACAGTCAGCCAGAGTCAGTATTCAGTGGCGGGAAATGTAAAGGGCTGCAGCAGCTCACTTCAAAGAAGCTCCATCACAGAGCCGTAGTGCAAGCATGACTTTGACAGGCGAAAGGAAAAGTAGTTCCTATCAACCGAGTATAATTAGACCATCCTTGTGATAGTAAGATACTTATGATAAAACACACACTCACTCCAAATTGCTGAGTTTAGATATTGATCCTATTATATGAGTATCGATCCTAGTGCATGAAACGTTGGTATCAGAAATATCGATACTTTAGGATCGAACCGCACATCACTATTTGAAACGTCAGTATCCAGCGTCCCATCCCTAGGGTAAGTCTCTCCACCTTATTAAACCATTGTTTTGTATTTTAACAGAAGCAGTGTTGTAGAATAACTTGGTATTGATGTAACTCCAGCTGGCTGGTTTTATCTTTAAACAGAATCCCGAAGGGCTAACGTGACCCGAGTTGATGACTAGCTTAAATGTGCCACTCAATTGAGAAGCTAACGTTAAGTAACTTACTAGTTAATGTCAAACTAGACCGTGTTGGCAAGAGTTAACGTTAACATTGTCATCGTGGAAGAGTAATTTTGTTGTAATATTTGGAGTCCACGTGTGAGGACTTGGCTAAGATTAAACAAGCTAACTTTAGCTTGATGTACTGTAGATTTCCCTGGCAAAAAATTAGCGGGCATTCCTACAAGGACGTCGGAAATGAGTGTCGCATGAGTAAGTAACTAGTAAGTAGTGTTACCTTACTGATTTACTTTCACAGCCCTTTCAAAAGTGTGTTTGGTAGTCATGTTAGGTAAGTTAACGTTAGTTAAATTAATCTTGCTTTGTTAATGCTTGTATGTTACTGAAATGTAAGTTGCTTTGGATAAAAGCATCTACCAAATGAGTAAATGTAAAAATTATTTAGGAATGAGTATTAAATGAGCCCCAGGGCTAAATTATTAAAGATTCCAAAGTGACTTACAAGTACTATATATGTTAAAGGTGGCACGCCTCTGGAACAACTAGGAGTTAAATGTCTTGCTCAGAGACACATTAATTGATGTCACAGTTGAAATTGAATGCAGGTCTCTCACACCAAAGGCATGTCTCTTATGCAGCATTCAGACCAAACGCGGGGTTTTATGTTCGCGTTGATAACGCGAATAAACACAACTCGCCATTACTACATCTGTAAACATTTTGCTGTGACTAAATAGCAATAACTACAATATGATGCAGATTTGTTAAACATATGAATTCATGCTTTGTCAGGTCTGTCAGCAAGACGGCAGGACAACAACTTCTAAAATGTTTGTCTTCTGAATGGAGTTCAGATCGATCAGGGCTATGCTAACTTGGTCACAGTAAAGTACAACGATAGCTCGAATAAAGTTACATAAATTTGTGTTCTGAACTCACCAGGTAGTCCAGTTTTGTCTGGTTTTTATATAAATATGAAGTAGTAGTCCAACAGAGCTGAGCATAATCCAGTCAGACTACGGGCGTTTATTTGTCCAAAAGCTGCTCCTCTCCCACAAGTTTAACAGCTCTCAGCCGGCCAGCAGATTTTCAGTTGTACGCTCTGCCTGGCCCTCTCCACAATGCTGTGAAACCGTTGGTGACGTACAAACAATCTCAACGCTGATAGGCTTCATGCATCATGCAACATCATGAAAATATTCAACTCACTCGAATTCCTTCTCCCTGTCTGCTCCCCTGAGTTTCTCCATAAGCAGTAGGTTATGTTTTATAAAGTTGCAGAAAAGACACAGAACTCATTTTTCTGGATATTTCCACCTGTGATCCTTTTTCACGGCAGCAGGTGCACCACATCCCAGCTTGTTAATTATGTAGCCTGTCAATGTCATTGTCCATCTCAGTGATTCATCGGGATGAAACGGTATGAAAATTTCATATCACGATTATAGTGACCAAAATTATCATGGTTATTAGTATTATAACAGTATTGTAAAAACATGCCATAAAATATTAAAATGTACTGATACACACACTGAAACCATTTCAACAAGTTTTATATTAAACTACAAATACAATTGCCATTTTATTTGCATAAAAACATAACAGCAAATACCTTTTGTAAACATATGAAAATCATCTTGGTGTGCATTATCAAGATTTTATATTTTATATAGGTAATACAGTGACCCCGTGGACAATTACAAGAAAACAAATAAGTCTTTAGAAGACACCCTGGACCCCCTGCAGTTCGCCTACAGAGCCAACAGGTCTGTAGATGATGCAGTAAACATGGGCCTTCACTACATCCTCTAGCACCTGGACTCCCCAATAACCTACACCTGGATCCTGTTTGTGGATTTCAGCTCTGCTTTCAACACCATCATCCCGGCCCTGCTGCAGGAGAAGCTCTCTCAGCTGACGTGCCTGACTCCACCTGCAGGCGGATCACTGACTTCCTGACGGACAGGAAGCAGCAAGTGAAGCTGGGAAAACATCTCTCTGATTCCAGGACCATCAGCACCGGATCCCCTCAAGGCTGCGTTCTTTCCCCCCTTCTCTTCTCCCTGTACACCAACAGCTGCACCTCCAGTCACCAGTCTTTCAAGCTTCTGAAGTTTGCGGATGACACCACCCTAATTGGGCTCATCTCTGGTGGGGATGAGTCTGCCTACAGGTGGGAGATCGACCATCTGGTGACCTGGTGCAGCCAGAACAGTCTGGAGCTCAACGCTGTGAAGAGAGTCGAGATGGTCATGGACTTCAGAAAGAGCCCAGCCCCACCCTCCCCCATCATCCTGTGTGACTCCCCAGTCACCACTGTGGACTCCTTCCGCTTCCTGGGCACCATCATCTCCCAGAACCTCAAGTGGAAGCTGAACATCACCTTCATCATCAAAAAGGCCCAGCAGAGGATGTACTTCCTGTAGCAGCTGAAGAAGTTCAGCCTGCCAAAGACAATGATGGTGCACTTCTACACCGCCATCATTGAGTCCATCCGCACCTCCTCCATCACCATCTGGTACGCTGCTGCCACTGCCAGGGACAAGGGCAGGCTGCAGCGTATCATTCGCTCTGCAGAGAAGGTGATTGGCTGCAATCTTCCTTCTCTCCAGGACCTGTACGCCTTGAGGACTCTGAGGCGAGCAGGAAAGATTGCAGCTGACCCTTCCCACCCCCGACACAAACTATTTCAGACTGTCCTCTCTGGCAGGAGGCTGCAGTCCATCAGGACCAAAACCTCTCGCACAAAAACAGTTTGCATGTACATGTAAATACTGTTTCATCTTGTGTCAGGCACAGACCTGGCATGTCGCACATATTTGTTCTTGATTGTTGTTCTTTGTTGTTGTATATTTTTATGTTGCCAGTTTATATATTTACATGTACACAATATTCTCTTCTGTTGCGTTACTTCTGCACGACACAGACTTAAGGTTGTGTCTCTGTCCTCAACCTGAGGCTGAGCAACACCAAGAACAGCTGTCAGTACACACACAGGCTTATTGATCGCTTCAGGAGGGATTGATAACTGATTGTGTCTGTCTCTGCCAGTCTTCACTCAGCCCCCGATCCTTCAGGCTCTGCAGCATGTTAAGGCCAACTGTGACGAGATCCACAAGATGAGGGAGGCACGAACTCATACACAGTAACGGGTGAAATCACTGCGGTGGCTGATATCACTTTCTCCTCCTGCAGGAGGAAGACTCCCAGACCAAGCCTCCAAAGTCCTGCCGTAAGGCTCTGGCCTCCTCGCCTCACTCCCAGAAAGTAGCAGCACTGCCCAACAATGAGGAGGCGAGCGCCTCCAGCAGGTACGTAACCCCACCTCCACCTGGGCCTCTGTGTAAGGACAACCTGAATCTGCGTTTCCAGGGCTCTACAGTACAACCATTCTGCTCGCATATGCCCCTAAAAATCAATACGTGCCAACAGGAAAAAAGATGTGCGAGTAACCAACCCCCCGTTTATGTCACTGTTTAGCTTTACGCTCTGAACTGTGAAGTGTTCGCGGTGCACAAGCTCTGGCATCCAGCTCTGCACGAATCAGTCCGTTGTTAGAAAAGAAAACGTCTGACGTGCTACTAACGTTAGCTCGACGACTCAGAATGGGCAAGTGTCTAAATTCAGAAAGCCAGAGATAAGTACAAGTTGGCGGATGAGGCTGAGGGCAGTGTCGTTGAGGTTAGCACAATAAGCTGATCGGCGTGCGAGCCAGTCACACTGTGGCGAGCGCTAATGGAACAGCAGAGCTGGAAGACCCGCTGCAGGTTTCTGGTCAGTGAATGATACAACAGCAACGGAGAAACTGTTGTAGGCTAACGTTATGAATGGAAACATCAAACTTAATGCACATTAAACTTACATCACCCAGATATATCACGGGAAGGAGGGAAAAACAAACCGGAGGCCAACTCCTTATCCCTGCTGCTTTCAAGCCAATACCATATAATGCTATATTTCAAGCAGCCTTTAGATGCTTTAGAAAACAGAACAGGATGAATAATCACTGAAGCAATTGGCATATAATATTACATTACCATATCTAGCCAAGGTGTAACTAATTGCAACAACTCATACCACACTTTGTTTGTATTTTTGATTTCACCCCTTAAGAGTTCTTAGTGCACAAATATTGTATTCATTACATAGTTGTCATTTACACTGTAGATACTGGGGACATGTCTCCATCACTTTTTTTTGTTGTTTTTTAAAGCGTGTGTTAAATATGTTAAAAAAAAAATCTGAATCACTTTATTTAAATAAAGACAATTCTACCATAAACTGGTGCAGAAAATGTCTCCAGAAAGCAGGAAATTAAGTGTTTAGTGCTCAAAAATTACTAGGGGACCCCCAGACTCCAATTGAAATATATTTCAACATTGAATATTTCATCAAATAGTGTTAAAATATCATCTTGTCTTGTTCTCGTGAACCCAATATTGTGAATTGTGCATGTGAGCTCAGTGTATCGTCACACCCCTAATCTGAACCCTTATGTCCCCACCACTTTTTAACACAAAGTGACGTCCTTGACTCATTTTATCTTATCAAAGTACGAACACACCCCAAGCTATAGTGTGTTAAATATGAATATATTATGTATATGTTTTGCATTTAACTACGTAAATTTTCTCGGGCTTAAAATTAATACAGATTTTTCATTAAACGGCAGTGAAGTTGATATTAAATTTCATCCTAGGTGGTATTAGAAAGGTCTTAAAAAGTCTTAAATTTAACTTTGAGTTTACTCCTGGGGGTACCCTGCAGTCAAATGAGAGGGGGAAAAGCCAGCTTGTTATAAAAACAAAGACGGATGTCAACAGCTGGAGTGGTGAGACAGAAGACACTAGGGAGAAGATAAGGAAGTTGTGGGTTTCACTATATCAAGTGCTTTTTGTTGAAACGTGTTCAACTTTTCATAAAATCGATGTGCTCAATTCACTTTTCGTCAACTGACCAATCACAGCCTGGATGGGGCGGGACATAAATATGGTTTGACGTGCTACAGTAAACTTTAAAATATTGAACTCCTCCTGCATGAATGGTTCTGATTATTGATGAGATGGTAGCATTAATAAATTAAGTGGGCCATCTTTCTTGCACAAGCATTTAATGACAACAGACTGCTGTTTTGTCCAACTGGAATTAATCTTATGCTAGTGGTGAGCTATATAGTACACTATTAACATAAAATGACAACAGAAAATATAGTAAATTAAATAATGTATTAACATACTAGCAGTATACTATTAGATATATATATATATCTAATGTTATAACATTATACTAATATACTCCATGTTGTAGAAAGAACCTCTGCAGTGGAAAGATGCAGATTTTCAAGGCAGAGGATGCCGGTGTACCAGTACGTGCTCCTTCTAGCCTGAGTAGGAGGTGCACGTCAGGCTACTGCTTAGGGTCTTCCAATGGCTTCATTCAATTTATTGATGGATAGCCCCTTGAGATGCAGCATCTCGTTTTCAAGATGGTCCAAATACACACATTATACAACAGGAAAAACAAACATAAAACAAATGCTCAAAACAATTGTTACTAGGCAGCTTACACCCTCACCCCAGACCGAAGACTGATTATAGCTCAGACATGTTATCGCTAGCTCAATAAGTACATCTCATTTACCTCATTACACAATTGGAACCCATAATACATAAGAGATTCAATGCAAAAAGGTATCATAAGAAGACAGAGGTTGAATCCATAGGAGGTAAATCAATTAAACCATTACATGAAGCAAAATACTATTACAAGCAATACTGTTTAGTCCAGCATCAGTAACATGCACACACATTGTTAAGATATTGAAATAACCTAAATCTGCGAAAAGATGAGATGGATCTCAAGGAAAGAGGGAGATTGTTCCAATCACAAGTAGCTTTATAATGAAAAGCTTTACGTCCAACAACGGAAAAGACTCCTGGTACAGTAAAGACAAGATATTGCATATCTCTAAGTGGATACATAGAACTGCAAGGAACCAAGAGTTCTTTCAGATATGGAGGACAATCGAAGTAGGCACATTTGAAAATGGAAACCAGTGAAAGTCTCCTTGAATTAAGCTGAAGCCAATTTAGTGATGCATACTTTACACAATGATTTTTAAAAGGACACCTTGGAACACATCTACACAGAGTTAAAAACAACATTAAGTGGCTTAAGAACGGAGTCACACAAGACTACTCATGTGGTCAAGTGCTACCCGATCACAATCTGATCACCCAAAATACATTTTAATGCCAGGTGTAAACAGCCTCTGTTCCCCGATTCGGAATATGCAAAGTCATTCACCTGTGATGGAAAAACTGCCAAATATGGCATTGCATTGTTCATTAAGAGATCAAACGTGCGTCTCTCTTCTGTCAAAGAAATTGTTTCAAAATTAGAAGTCTTAAATTTATATTTGTTGAGGTCTTAAAAGGTCTTAAAAAGCATTAAATTTGAAATGGTCCAAGAACCCTGATTACGGCTACAAAGATTAACAGGCAGCTTTTGTGTTATTGCCGCAAGTCTCTTTTGGATTGTACCACAGATATAAAACAGATTTACTCTTCAGCTATGGGGAGGTCTTAAAACCAGTCTCTAGCAACGTATTTGAAGCCTACTGTCGCTGCTTAATCAATGAGCTCCTCTATTAAAATTTGACACAATCGTTTTGTGTGTGATCACTAAACTACGGTAACACTCAACGCATGGCTGTCTTCCTCTACTCGTTCTTCAAATGATGAGCGTATGTAAGTTAGTGGAGGATAAGATCAGCATTAAGTTGTCAGGTTACAGCTCTGTCCTCTACTGTACATCTTCATAGTTAAATTAAAAAGAGAGGAGGGAGTTGACCACGGAGGAGCTGAGGTTAGTAACGTTAAAGCAAATTAGGGATGCAAACTAACGTTAGTCCTTTTAGGCTAATGAGGAGGATTGTGGTTTTGGATTTTGATGTACAAGTAAAATGCTTTTAGTAATACAGAAGGGAGGTGGTTCTCATGTTGCCTATTTTTTAATTTCTACAAATGTAGAAATCAACATAATAGGCAACTCTTATGTGTCCCATTTGAGCTTCCCATTTCAAGTTTTTAAATTTTACTTTCACAGTTTCACTTTCAAAGTTGCCATTCAGTATCTACATCAATTTCTTTCAAAAGTCACTATTTGCAAATATTTAATTTTGCCCAGATTATTCCTATTTAAACTAGTAAGAATAATAACTAAAAAGAACTAATATGAATAAATGTAATTTTAAAAAAGCACCGTTGTCTCAGTTTTCTCTGTTAATGTGGCATACTTGGGCCTATATCATCTCTAAGAACATACAGTGCACTTTGTACGTTTATTGAAAGTGACACATTCTCTGTAGTTTGGGCTCTATACTGCAGTCATTGTTTGTTGTCTCAGCCTCTGGGATGTGCAGAGGAAGATCCCTCTGGTTTTCTAAAGGAAAGAATTCCCAGGGGACACATGACATCTGTTGTGGTTTTCTTCCATAGAGATCTGCATCACCAGGCAGCGCTCAGGTAGGCCTGGTTTGTTGCTAATTGAACCACGCAGTACTGCTTGATGCTAGTCAATGAGGTTGTTTGAATTATTGGCAAAGAAAGTGCAACGCTCATATAGGAGGGAACAAGATCGAGAGCACATCTTCATTTAGAAAAATGTTAGTCTAAGACTATACAAAATGGATAAATCAGGTGATGTTAGCGTTAGAGGCAACCAATGGCAGAGACTGCTCAGGTGGCAACAGGGGCAGAAAGTGAACAAGGAAGGAGAAGATGGAGTCGAGGATGAAGGGAAACGAAACCTCAATCTGGATTTGAAGCTGAAAGTTAAGTGAGTAATTAATGGTTGGGATGGATGTGTTTGCAAAAAAATTTTGATCACCAGAACAGTCTCCGTCATAGTAAATCTATCATAGTAGTGACATTGTATTTATATAAGGAATTTATTCAGTACCCCCGCGACCCTGTACGCAGGATAAGCTATTGGCTATGGATGGATGGATGTATTCAATACACTTCATAATTTCTGTCTTGGTGAAGGATTGACAAAATCCAGTTGATGCACTCTACTGTAATCTGCTGCAGAAAGCTTTCTTTGTTCCATAACATTTGTATCCTCCAGCATTCTTCTTGTTCAGTATATTCATGCATTATGGGATATAAAAGAGGGGTCTGCAAAATCAAATGCTTTTTTCTGAGACTCCTGATTTAAATTACAGAGAGGTATTTACTTAAAAACATGAAGGGTATAGGCAATACAAATTAAGCAACGCATTTTATAACTGCCTTTTTAGAATAAACATACATTTCAGATGTATTATTTCAAGTATCTTGTATTTGTAATTCCTTTTTTATTTAACTTATTCAGATAGAGGGCATGTTGGAGGAGAGTCTGAGAGGCAGAGAAAGTAGAAACTAAGATCAAAAGGCTAGAGAGCAACTTGGAAATCATGCAAATAAAACTAGCTCGACTTATGGTGGAAAAAATCTATGACAATTTTCCTGACTGATAAAGTAGTGATTAGCCTACATCTCATTTCCCTCTCACTTCATCATTTACCAGTTGGAAGGAGTGGTTGGTTGATCCGGCAGAACAGTTTTATTACATGTGGCTCCAGGTCATGATCCTCCCCATTGTCTACAACTGGTTGATCATCATTTTGAGGTAAATGCCTGAGAGATGATGAATATCAAATCATATACATATATATTAAAAAAACATATAACCAGTAATCTTTGATTTGAAATCCATTGGTTATGTTTTCTCAGAACATGCTTCAATGAAATAGCATTGAGCTACCTACCTGTGTGGCTTACACTGGACTATCTGTCAGACCTCATGTATATTCTTGACATGATTATCACTGTTCACACAGGTAATTTTTTTCTTTATTTTTGTTGGTTTTGATTGAGAGTATGACTCTTAAAACTGAACTTCTATTTGTCACATACGCCGTCATACAAATGTGAAATATAGAGGAACACTACACATAAACCAGTATTGGTAATAAAGCAGCTTTAGAACAATATGACCATAACAAATATAGCTACAAGTTATACTTACACCTTTCTGGCTGAGATACAAACTACCAGACTTTAATGGGCATGTATGCCTCACATCAACCCTAGTCCATTGTTTAGCTATTTTTTTTATCTAACAGGGACAGTGCACATTAAGTTAGCTAAATAGCTCATTTTCATCAAATTATAATACATAACTACATTATAAAAGTTAGAAAAGTATGTATAAAGTTCCAAATATCATCAGTATAGTGCCTAAGTAAGTACTGCAAGAAAGATGAGATACAAGATAATGAATTTAATTTAACAATCAATGGATTTTGTGCCATATTGGCCATGTACAGGATTTCACCCCCCACAAACAATCATCTTGAATTGTCAGATGATGAAAAAGCTCACAATTCATAAACTCAATTCACAATTCTGTCCCATTTCTATCTTCCATTCATGATGTGAAAGCATTATTAACTCTTGCAAGTCAGAGAAATTTCATATTATTTATAGTTAGTGCCAGCCTATGCTTTTGAGTAGGTAATTATACCATTGTGTGAAGTGTACTCTTTGTTACACCTTGGTTTTCCCTCTCTAGGTTACTTGGATCAGGGCATCCTGGTTAAGGACCTAACTCAGCTGAAGAAGCGCTACCTGCGCTCTAAACATTTCTTATGGGACCTGGCTTCCATGCTGCCCACTGACTTCCTCTACTTTGTCTTTGGCATCCAAACTCCGCTGGTGAGGATCAACCGCCTTCTGCGGATGCCACGACTCAATGAGGCCCTGGACCGCATGGAGACGAGGACCTCCTACCCGAACACCTTCCGCATCTCCAAGCTCATGGTCTACATCTTTGTGTTGATCCACTGGAATGCCTGTCTCTACTTTGCACTGTCCAGCTACATTGGCTTCGGAAGTGATCCTTGGGTCTACCCCAACATCACCGATGACTTTGCCCCAATGCACCGTCAGTACATTTACTGCTTCTGGTTCTCAGCCGACATTTTCACTACAATAGCAGACACTCCCTTGCCAACAAGGGAAGAGGAGTACTTGTTTATGATTGCAGACGTTCTCATTGCCGTGCTGGTGTTTGCATCAGTTGTTGGCAATGTTGGCAATGTCATCACAAACCTAAGGGACCGTGATAATGTCTTCTTCCCTAACCATGAGTTGGTAAGATGGGAAAGAAGGGAATTGAAGATGGCTTCATGTCAATAATATTCTTTGGGTAGGTGCTAATGTAATCTGTATTGTAGAAAATACAATACTACTTTTCATCTTTCAGGTGAAGGCATACCTGCGTAGCCATTCCATTACCAAGGAGCTTCGACAGCGTATCGACAGCTGGTACCAGCATCTTCACATCAACAAGAAGATCATGCGAGAGAATGAAATCCTGCAGCAGCTGCCCATACACCTTAGGACCGAGATCGCTGTCAGCGTTCACCTTCCCACACTCTCCAAAGTCACCATCTTCCAGAACTGTGAGAAAAGTCTGCTGGAGGAGCTGGTGCTTAAATTAACACCTCAGGTCAGGGGGTGGGGGGGTGCCTTAAGGAAAAGCACTATGTTAAAAAAAAAAAAAAAAAAAAAAAAATGCAAGGGGCTGCACTTTGATGGGGGTGTGTAACCATGTAGCTACAGGTATCAGAGAGAAAATTACATATAATGCCAGAAGTTGAAAGGTTATCAGACTCATTCTGGCAGTGATTAATCTGCTAGGAATGTTGTTTGCTCAGATTTGATTGGCCAAAGCAGTGAGTAGCACATGACACATGACATCACATTGCATTGCAGCAAAAGTTGAGCTGGGTTCATTTTTTCAGGATCTTGTACATTGGCATCCTCACTGCACTGATGCAGTGGTCACAATGAAGGGTATGAGGGGTCTGGGTAACACAGCATTAATTGTGATTCATTCCTCCCACAATTATGAGCATATTGTCTCTGACCATTGTCCCGATTATACTGTGGGCTTCTTTGTCTAATTGAAAAAGTGGTTATGGTACTTATGATAGGTGCTTCTGATAGGACTAACACATCATGGGATTGGCATGGGAAAACCAAGGCTCGGGACTGGACAAGAGAGTCTGTGGAGTTCACCTGACAGTATATTTATATTTAACAAATGCTGCTTTGTTTATAGTGCACATAGCAACCTGTATTGAACCTACTACTCAATGGTATAGTAACCGCTAAGCCTAAGCTTAAAGCAGCTGAGGGCTAAGCAGAGGGTTGAAGTAGGCTAGTTGATGCGCTTACCGTGGCCGCTTTGTTCGGTTCAGAAATAATATAACAGAAGTTCTGATTTCTTCTCTGTCGTGAGAGATATGATTTATTGTTACACAAGGTCTTCATTTTCCATAATGGAACAATATTCCATCTTCATCGACACTGTCACAATATCAAACATACAGCCGCAGCACCTGTGTCTAATTACACCTACCCTCCTAAATAGATGAGTCCCACTTAGCTATGCCATGACCCTAGTACCACCTACTGGCCAAACCTGGACATAAACATTGAAATGGCACCTACAGGCATATTCTAGTGATATAGATTCAAATTCAACCCAGTGACTGCGCCTAGTTTACTTTCTCATGCATTAGAGGTTTCTCATGGTTTTTGTCTTATAGGTGTTCAGTCCAGGAGAGTACGTCTGCAGGAAAGGAGATGTGGGCCATGAAATGTATATCATCAAAGATGGAAAACTTGCAGTTGTAGCAGATGATGGGGTCACAGAGTATGCTGTGCTGAGTGAAGGGAATTTCTTTGGGGAAATTAGTATCCTGAACATCAAAGGTAAGACAAGTTTCAAGTACTTTGCACATGTTCATATGACATTTATTAATTCATGCAGATGAAAATTGGCCAATTCTTGACACAGTAGTGAAAAATGGTGGTGCTGAATGGCTTTTTTTTTTAATTTTACTTGCAAAACTCCGTGTGGAGTCCCAGAAGGATTCATTCTTTAGCCTCTATAATTAAAACTCTATGTGCTTGATATGCTTCAGTAAGTTAGTTTGCTGACTCAAGCTATCAACAACAATTAAATGCAGTTTTGAAATTAAACACATCTTGAATTTCTCCCTGCACTGGATGTGATGAAATCTAATTTATTTTCATTTTCACTTATTTTGGATGACCTGCACTAATAAACACATCTGTTAATGTGCCGGTGTAAACCAGCTGGCTATTCTATTTTCAACAGAAAGCAGCAAAACATTGCCTCAATAATATAATAACGTTCATTATTTACTGCAAAGCACAAATGAGCAATGCTTTTAATAACGACATTTTGCACAAATTAGCCATGCAGAGCAGCCTTAATAAGACAAACTGTAGATACAGTGTGTTAACATCCGTAATATTAATCTTAATAAAATGTTAATAGTTCAGAATCAAACTCTAAACATGCAGCACAAAACTGAGAGACTCTGTAAACTGAGTGTTTTGAATATGAATGCTATTAAGACGGCAACAAGAATAATCCCTAATGTTCCCTGATGTGTCTTTAAATTCTGAAATGGGGATTTGCCTTGGATAATTGAACATCATATCCTTTATATGGATTTTTTTTCTTTCTAGGTAACAAATCAGGAAATCGTCGCACTGCCAACATTCGCAGCATCGGCTATTCTGACGTGTTCAGCTTGTCCAAAGAAGACCTGACAGACGTGCTATCTGAATTCCCTGCAGCCAAACGTCACCTGGAGGAGAAAGGCAGACAGATCCTCACCAAGATGGGCATGTTGGAGGAGAGTCGGGAAGGAGAGGAGGGGGAGGCAGAGAAAGTAGAAACCAAGATCAAAAGGCTGGAGAGCAACTTGGAAATCATGCAAACAAAACTAGCTCGACTTATGGTGGAATTAGAGTCAACCAACCGGAAGATGCAGGGCAGGGTGGAGCAGCTGGAGTGGGAGGTGGCAGTACTGGAGACTCAGCTGCCAGAAGATTGGGGCGAAGGAGAAAGAGCACAGGGAAGATGTGAAGGTGTGGGAGGGGAGGTTGATTGGGAGCGAGAAGAGGCAGAGGGAGAGGAAGAGGAGAGTTCAGATGCAAAAGGAAAAGAGCAGGGACAGAGAGAAGATGGCAATGATGTGACAAAAGAAGGAGATGGAGAGAGCACCAAAAGTACAAAAGAGGAAATGGAAAGGATTTTGGACGGCGATAAATGTGGACTGAAAGACCCAGACGATCAGGAAGAGAAAAAAGAAGACTATGGAGACAAAAACAGAGAGAAAGGAGATGATAGACCTGGGCAAGCAGATGGAGCTGAGATTGTACCTGAAGATGAGAAAGAAGAGAAAAGTGGAGAGAAAGAATCTGAAGAGGGGTCAGAAAAGACTGAAGAAGACTCAGAAAAAAGAGAGGAGCCAGAAAGAGGGAGGGCAGAAGAAATTAATGAAAAACCCAAATAACTGAAAGGGAAAGTGAAGTTCATAAAAAAAATCTGTGTATTTTTGTCTGTAGGCGTTTGTCTGTTCTATATTAATAAAAATATTGAAAACCTCAACATCTCATTAACACACTTTATGCAATCCAACGTCCTACCTCTAGGTGGAAGCATTGTATTTTCATCACTGTAGATTAGTGCGTGCCATTCAAAATGGAACAAGGTGCTACTAGATGGTACAGTATTTTAATGTTTTATTTATTTAATCACACTTTTGTTTCTAATTTCACTGTACAGTAACAATACTGAACTTACACTGTTGTAAGTTCAGTATTGTTACTGTAGCCTATGTGACTATACATATTGCAGGTGAAATCATTGCTATGCATTATGTCCAAGGGGTAAAACTAAAAAATGAATAGTTGCTTGTTTGGTGGGGATCAATTGGAAGCTGAAAGTATTTTTGACCAGTCTATTAATAATTTGATTCCAATGAAAATACCTCAGTTAACCATATTCGCTGCAGGATCATTTGCTGAGACTTCTGTCTTAATGATCTAGCATAAAAATACATTTCAACCGGTTATTTTACATCACATTAAAAATTAAAATAAATCTTGTTTAACTTCTTAAAGGCACAATCTGTAGTCTGTATTGTCAAATGGAAACAAATATAGCCCCACCATAAAAGGAACATACAGTCATTGGTAATAATCCAATATTATAATATCTAATAATAAAACACTGTCAGGAGCTGTTCTTCTGTATGATAAGTAGCCTACTTTTACTTTTGATTGAAGCCTAGTTGAGATTTTACTGATAAAAGGCATACCTCTGTAGGCTACTTGTAAATGTTTGATGGCTGGGCTTTTATAATGTGTTATTCATACTTTTAGTTAAGTAAATGATCTGAATACGTCTTCCATTAGTGTAAGTAACAAACACTTACAAGCTCACTTCTTTTCACCTCCAAGTAAAACTCTTTATGAAAACACCTGTTATGTGTGTGTAAAACACACGGGTTGGCCCTTTAATGACGCACAGTTTACGCACTTCCCGGAAGTGCAGAGGGGACACAGGCCCCATCGATTCAACACAACTGCATACATAAGCATTTACTACTAATAAAGCTCCGTTTGTATGTCATTTTCATGGAGTACTACCGCTAACACATATGGAGTGTCAAGAGGAAAAGCCGATCATCTACACTATGGAAAACAAGCCGATTGTGACATGTGAGTGTTTATTAAAATGAGACGTTCAGTCTTATTTTTTCTGGTCTTGACAGTTAGCCAGCTAGCTATATGCATTAGCTTGTTTTAGCTAGGCTAGCTGGTACCTATATTAACCAGCTTGTAGACGCTGTGTGCGTGGCGATTTGTGGCTTAATTTCAACTTGTCAATGCTATACTATTTCCATACTTATATATGAAACCGCTGTCTGTCCTCATTGTTCTTCCTGAAAACAGCATATCTCAGCTACTAGGAGCTACCTTGATTAACAGGCCTAGCTAACGATAAAACGTCACGGCTAGTTGCTGCAGTTTTGGGTGATATCCTTATATCACCTTGTTTCCTTGCTGGACATCCACCGTTTCCTCTGTTAGCAGCTCAGGCAACAGTCTCCACATGATGTTTGGGCATCGGGGTCAGTTTGCCATTCATAAATCTGTTGGAGTCCTAATGTTGAAGAAGCTTTCTTGGAGGGGTTATTTTCAGAGCCGACTGTGGTACTGGGTGTCAGCTTCACCTCACACCGCAGGTTGCCCCATTTTTAGGACACAGTGGTCCAAAGTTGCCCCAGTACAGGGAAATCGGAATATGAAAGGGAAATCAATAGTTAAACAGTGCGATTTGTTGGTGGATTCAAAAGCTTGCCCCAAGAGAGATCCAGGGTGCACCTGGATTTCTTGAGGGGATGCCAGGTGTCCAAACTCACGTGTATACCTCTGAAATAACCCTTGTTACGTTTGTGACTTTTGCACTGATGGTTACATTCAGAAATAAGCAACTTCACACATTGTAAAGCAAACATTAGTGATTTATTTGGTACATTTATGACCCGCAAAGATGGCAACAGGACAAGTAAACAGTTATGTTTTCCAGTTGTCAACTTTGTTCGCTCAAGGAATGGTTCAAAGTCTTATTTGCTTTATTGTGGAGGGAATACAATGAGTCAGGAGTGTCTTTGTTAAGATTATGGACATAAAGTAAGGTCTGTTGAAACAAACACCTGTCTGGATTTTCAAACTGTGGCTTATTTCTGAGAGTCCAGTGTAATTATCAATGCAAATTCTTACTGTAAAACTGATAATCACACGAGAGACCCAATACTGGTGTTTGCTTTGCAAGGTTGTATTTGATAGCAGTTTTTGATAGCCTTCGTGAGCATTCGAAGTCTAGTTTAGACTGGAGCCTTAAAACCTTGGAAAGATTAATGACATCAACTAGTGTTAATGCACACTGAATTTTAAAAATCTTCCGGTTTCAGATCAGTACCACTAAATCACACTGGTTCATGCCAAATTGAAAAGACGACCACATTAGAGTGTTTGCCATGAATTGTAAGAGTGACCTGTAGTCTACATTTTTGACATGGTCATTAAATGCACACGGGGCAGATCACTTAGATCAATGTTTCCCAAACTTTGGGTCGGGACCCAAAATGGGTCGCAGACCAGTTTTTACTGGGTTGCCAAATGGCAGGTTTTTGCTCTCCCTTCTCTCTAACCTGATTTGCTGTTCACATTCATACAGAATATTTATGTCCGTAGTCACTGTGGATCCTATGATGTCCAAACTAAAGTACAACCTGAAAAACAAACCTGAAAAACAAACACAGAAACAGACTAAATGCTCAGCACGACCTCAGAATGGAACTTTAAAAAACAGAGCCCAGAGTATAGATCAGCTGGTTGAAAACTTTAACCAGCCACATACCTCTCATTAAATTCATGTCAGCATCATTAAAAAAAGACACGCTGGTGTTGATGCTGAGGGATGATGGGTGGGGAAAAGAAAATGAGAGTTGAGACACAGAAAGTAGAACAGACCATTGCTGTTTTTATATAGAAATAAATACATTTCATATACATTTTAAATTCTTGGTTTGTGTCTTTTATCTGTATAAATGTAGATGATACAGCAATTCATGATTAATTTGTGTAAATGTGGGTCCCAGTGAGACACCAGTTTTCTCTTTTGGGTCTTGAGCTAAAAAAGTTTGGGAACCACTGCCTTAGATCATCAAGTAAAGGTCTCCTCACTGTACTTAGAATAAATTCTGAATCAGCTTGTGGTGCCTTCAGCTGTTATGGTCCTACTCTCTGAAATTCTTTACCACATGAACTAAGGTCTACTACAACAGTGTCTTCTTCTAAAACCATAAAAACATTTAAACTAGGCTATCTTTTTCGCAAGCTTTTAGTTAAGTGTGTTCCGTTTTTATTTTAGTTATTTTTAATGTTTTCTTTTAATAATAATAATTATAGCTTTTTATCTTGTATATGTTTTATATATGTATTACCTTCTTATCTTATATGTATTTTTTATTTTTATTTTGAAGCACATTAAGTACATTGAGGGGATGCCTGTCGTGCGTATGAAATGTGCTATATAGATAAACTTGGGCATATGGAGCAATAGTTATGCTCCACATCCAGTAATGATTTGTATATGTCCAGGTGTTAAACAGTGAGGAGCCAGGCTAATTGATTTACAGTGCAGTCAAACTGTCAGCACAGGGAAATATTTTGGCCCAACTCCAGCACACTGGATTCAGATAGAGCTCACTATGAGGTTTCAGTGCTGACGTTCATCTTGAAGGGTGTCTGAGAGTGTTTACATTAACACTGGCTGAACAGCGTGGGGCTAGTAGTAGTCATGTGTACCCTTGGGGGGTATTTATGAAAAGGGTTTTTTATGCGGTTCATTGGATGTGACCCACTTCTAGTGTAACATGAACAAATACCTCAGTCTTACAAGTTTTTGTTTATCAAAACACACACTGCTACCATGCAAAACAATTTAAGCATTTCTGAAATGGGCCACCAGCTGTGAAATTTCATCATAGTTGGCAAGGTGACGGGCCTGGTCCACAGTACTGGTGATAATTTGGAAGATGGGCCGACCTCAAAAGTGGATCTGCACAGCTTAGGAATAGGGCTGTACGATTATGGCCAAAATGATAATCACCAATCAACATATTTTTATTGCACTTTCAAATTTAAATAAACGGGCAACTGTTTTCACATCCACAATGTGCTGCATTTGTGCTAATGTACAAATCTTTGCACCAAAATAAGACTGGTCCTTAAAGTGCATCATCTCCTTGAAGCAAAATACAAATAACATTTTACCCGGAAAGTCCACTGAATCTGGCTACTGCAGCACCATGGTTTTATCCCGTCCTCTGCACAGCATTAACTTTCACTGGAAGTGTCGCATTTCAGGAGCTGAGCATATTGTTGGCTTGTTGTTATTTTGTCATTTTTGTGCTTCTACCTTCTAGTCTACTTACCAGCAATGGCTCTTTGTGACCCGCTTTTGTTCGGTTATCTGCAGGCTGCATATCCCACAGGGAGCATTTCAGAATCAGAGCTTTTTGCCTGCCTGATTTTGCTGACGTGTTTAGATTTTGTTGATTTGGTAATCAGTGCTTGATGTCTGTGCTTCTTCTATGATTAAGTAGATAAATGGTTCTTTTTTGTCTATTTTAACTGTGTTTTTTGTTGATTTATGATCGGGAGTATATGGGAGAGAAAACTGACTGCCAAGTCACCAGCCAAGGTACTACAATGTAAAAGAAAAGAAAAAACTGAACGTCAGCACCTTAGTCTCATAGTTAGAATTTCACTTTAAAATAGAATATGCTTGAGAGCAGTGCCACAACAAAACTGTTGTTTGATGTTTCCCTGACTTTTTCTGTTTTCTGGCAGTTGAACCTTTTATAGCTGTTGCTGAAATGGTGTTACTTTGGGAATATCAAGAAATTCCTTTTGCATTATCTGATTTAGTTGTTAACATCCTAACTTTGATTGGATCTGAAACGTATTGCTGTCAATCCTACCTGCAATGGTAAGCATGGATAAGTG